TGTGGAGCAAAATCCTGCAAGCACAGAATTCCTACCTTCCTCAGCAACCTCTTAATGGCATGGCAAAGTGCGCTTCTAATGACAGGAGTTTTTCTGCGTATGTGGGAAGCTAATTGCAGAGCAGCTGAAGGAGCTAGATGAACAAGTCTTGCCTCCTGAACAGAGATGTGTGATTTGTTTAAGATCTAGTTGGGTGGTCCAAATTTGCTTGGCATGCTTCTGTTTGCAAGGAAATAAAGGTTTGGTCCAGAGCATAGTGACCAATAACGGACTGTTCAGTGTCTGATGACGACTGGACTCCTTGTAGATGGTACTACAAAGACCTTTGCACATTTTGGGCATGCATGTGCCCAGCCTGAATCCTAAAACTCTAGGACAGCTGGCCATAAAGTTAAAAATTCCTTAGTTAAAACACTTGTACTTACTACGCTCTGCAGTTCAGTGGTTGGAAATTAGGGTTTTAGGATACAAAGCTGTTAAATACCAGATGCTGGGCACTTGAATGTTAGAAGAATGGCTCTTCAATGTTTGCTTTTTTGAAGGTATGCAACAGGTCACGACATCACAGAACACTCTGTCCTGATCCACGAGTATTACAGCCGGGAAGCGCACAATCCAATCCACCTGACTGTGGACACAAGTCTGCAGAATTCACGCATGAGCATTAAAGCCTACGTCAGGTACTCTGGGAAGGGGCTGTCTGAATTACCAAGAAAGACCATATGAGAATAATGAGAAACTTAGTGGGCTGCAGCATCCTCTATTTTGGACAATACTGTGCAGTAGCTGAACTATAACTGAGCCAGAGATCATAGCTTTCTTCCCACTGAAATGTCTTGACCAGTGTATATACGTTGACAGACTTAACCTTCATAAGGTGGTTCCTCATTGTGGGTGGGAAGCTGGGTTTTAACAGTGTTCTGAACATATTCATGGCGCTTCACAGGATTCATATAGCTAGCATTAATGTCATTAACTTCCATCATACTCTGAATGCTAGCCTTTATTCACTGAGCCTTACTGCTCAGCAGTCCAAGTTCTAGTGCAATCAGAATGTGATTGAGAGAACATCTTATTGGTCAGTCTTTTTTCCCCTCATCCCCTTCCATTTGCAATTATCAACTGATAATAGAGATTAGATACTATGAAATGAAACTATTCCACCTCACTGTTCTTCCCCGTACTTGTTGAAGAACTCTCCTCCTTCCAAGATAAAACCCCAGCCTTTCTTGTAGCAGAAATCATTCTGCTTTCTGCCTGTGCATCTTCAAAAAGAAAGCTGTTCCATGACATCTTCCATACTGAAATCATAAACAAACTTTAAATACTCTCAATAATAATACGGAGTTTTGTTCTTGAATTTTTGTTTGTCCCTTAAATGAATTCTCAAAGAGCATGGAGTATTCCAGGATAGAAAAAATAAGCGCTGTACAAGCCAGAAGAAACTGGCTAAGATAGCACCTAGCGCTTCATGTTGTCATGTCAACAAATGTCAGACCAGCTAGGAATATTCTTAGATAAAAATGAGCAGTTAATAATACGCCTGTATTGATTTTCTGTCCTCACTTATTCTGGGTCTTCATATTGCTGATTTTAGTGAGAATGAGTAACCAACACTTGCTCAGACATCAGTGCTAATAGAGATCACTGGGATGGAAGTATATTTCCTTTCTTTTATATGTCAATACTGAAAACTTTTTCTTTTCTCCTAGTGCCCCGATGGGAGTCCCTGGTAAAACTATGGGCGTGATGTTCACACCTCTAACAGTGAAGTATGTTTATTATGATACAGAGCGGATAGGAGGTGAATGTTTTCTTCCTATTTTGATTCTAACCATTGTTGTGACACTGTTCAAGTACTTTTCTTTTTTTAATCCTGGTAAAACTGCCATTCCGCAGGGAATTAAACAGTCTTACTTAACCATCTAAAGATCTGCAACAAGTTAAGGATTTAAGTTGTCTTCAGTGGCATTCAGTTTTCTTACTGATCCTTCTTTTGCTTCCAGTGGATCTTATCATGAAGACCTGTTTTAGCCCTAATCGAGTGATTGGCTTGTCCAGTGACTTACAACAGGTGGGGTCAGCCTCGGCCAGGATTCAGGATACCCTCACTATGGTGCTGCAGTATGCAGAGGATGTATTGGTAAGGCCAACTATTAATGACCCAGCAGATAAGTTTGATAATACGATTACACATCTATTTTCTCTTTTTGTATGTTTTCTTTCTGGATCATAAACTCACAGTTTTACTCACGCTAATTTTTTTTCTTATTTCAGTCAGGCAAAGTGGCTGCTGACAACACTGTTGGGCGTTTCCTGATGGATCTCATTAACCAGGTGCCAAAGATTTCAGCAGAGGACTTTGAGACAATGCTAAACAGCAACATTAATGTAAGTTTGTTGTCTTATTTTTTCAGTGTATTGCCAATAATTTTGAAAATCTGTCCTACAGACACAGATTTGTCTATGATCAAAACTACTCTTTCATACCAACATGTTCATAGAAAATACAGCCCTTTCTCGTCTCTAGTTTGATGTTTTAAAAGCTGAAGGTGGATGAAGGAGCTCATTATAATTTAAAGACAACTGCAAATGAGAGAATTAATTTAAAAGCACTTATGAATTATGCAAGTAATCTGAAAGGCAGTGCTGATTGTTTTTTTAGAGTGGCAGGAAAATATGAATTACCAAGCTTAATGCATTATAGATTTCAAGGATAATTGGTGATTTGCCACCTTTCTTTGCCTGAGCTGAAGTTCTTGTCTCATTACATGACACTTAGAGCATGAGCAAGGTTTTAGTGTGCTACCTCATTTCTGTCACAGATTTTTAGAAGGCTAAGTTTCTGAATCTGTTGTTCATCCTTAGTCTGCAAGACCAGAAATAATTTTTAATTTTGCTTATACCCTTTGACTTGCCTGGTTAACATGGATGAACTCAGAGTTAAACTTTCACAAGTAGTGTCTCATGTTCCAGGAATACCAAAACCTCCTTCCTGTGAGGGAAGCATTCCTCAGGGCAGGACACTGAAGACAGCAATAGTTCCAGTAGCTGATTTTACACTGCTTTACAGCTGTTAAAAATTCACATCTCCATAATAGGCTATAATCTTTGTTAATATTTCTGATCATTGCTTTTATTTCCCTTCCTCTCAGGACCTGCTGATGGTAACCTACTTGGCAAACCTCACGCAGTCACAGATTGCTCTCAATGAAAAACTTCTGAGTTTATAAAGAAACTTCTGCCACTCGACCCTTCCTTCAAAAAGCCTCAAGAATGAGCAGATCATCACTTCTGTGGTGGTACAAATTGCCTTGGACCATAACTTAATTACCTAGATGACTTGGTTTATGTCTTTATTTCTACTTCCCTGAAAAAGCCCTAGCAGTGCAGGTAATGAATGGGAACTCATGCAGACTGGATGAGCCCACAATCTTAAAATGGAATAAGTGAATTTTTTGTCTTCTGGGTTTATTTACTTGTATTACAAAATACAGCTTTATTGTAAGAACTTGAAATAAAAGTTCAATTTTATTGGCAAGAACACCTGTCCAGAAAAAAAAAATGTTCTCTTTTTTTGTATAATGAATCCCCTTTTGGAGGAAAGAGGGGATAACATGGTATCAGGAATGCAAACTAAAGTGGATGCAAGTCATCTCAAATTCTGCAGCTTTCTTTGTTTTCCCCCTAACTTTTAAAGCACACAGGGAGGCGTCTTGCACTGCACATAATACACTTTTCCAGAGGGACTACAGAACAGTCACTGGCTCATAAATGGTGCTGTATATATGGCCTTCATTGATGGGATATGAGACACCAGATTCAGTTTACATTGCTCTATTATTTCTATGCATATTTGATCCTTCAGGAAAGGAAATAAAGTATAATGGAATTACACCCTCATAAAGTAGGGCTTCGGAGAATTGAACTAACAACTAAGTTCATATGGCTAGAAAACCTCACAAACCATTGCTACTGGAATTTCCCTGTTTGCAAAAGAAAAGCACAGCAATATACTTTGGTGAGGGATGCCATCAAATAGGAATTCCCTGTTCCATGACCCTTGTACTGCTGGGTCAGAAACTTCCAATTTTTTCCCCCAAACCTATTTCACCTGGAATTAATTTTAACAGAAGGAAAGCCATTCTGATTTGTAACTTTTTACAATTTCAGCTAATATAAAATCTTTGGTAGTCTGTTCAGCTGTACTGCAGTGGATTCACCTAATACAGTAGAAGTACCCCTCTTCTACAACATACTTGTTCATGCTTATGTACTAATGACTATTTCTGATGCATTTGCACACGTCTGTTTTGATAAATGAATTAGAAACATCATAGAGAAAGCTGCAAAACCAGTGTTCACCTCAAATACCTTTGTGCAAAATTTGCCACATTCATCCAGAAGTGAAAAACCCATTAAAAATCTATAAATTCTGTTCTAGTTGTTCCTATCTGGGGAATTCCGAGTGGTTCAGTGCTAAATTCTAATTTCTAATTGCAAGGGCAAGGCACCTGAAAACTGAAAGCACAGCAAAGATTTCACCTCTTTTCAAAGTGAGCATTAAATGTGTTAAAACTTGCCTCATTTTTACTGGTCTCACTGATGTTTTGTTTCTCTTCTTTAAGCTTAATATTCAATCTTTGGCCACTTACACACATTTTTCAGGTCACAGTGTTCTTTTTAAAATAAGCCTTGAAATAGATAGAGGAAAAGAATGAGCAGCAAAGCTGGATAGGTCTCCGATAACTATTGCAATAAGCAGAGGAAAAAAAGCATATTATTTCTCTGATCTGTCCCTCTGTAGTAAACTCTTGTCATTCTCTGTTAAGAAAATTAACATGTAAGAAAGATTCGGAGTTGAAAGATTTCAAGTTGAACAGCTATTGTATTTAGTCAGCAGCTGTGTACGAAATGCAAAGTTCTGAGAAGAAAGATCAATTTGTGATCATTACTTATAGAAAACGTATTGTGGAATTTGCCACAGTCTTTACAAGTACCTGAAGATGAACGATGATGCGTTACGAGGGATTGAAGCTGTCTCTTCCCGTGTGGAATGATGCACTGCAAAACCGGCGTGTCAGAAGAGCCCATAATCTGTAGGTTCAGCTGTATGCTAGACATCACAGTGACAAATACAAAGAATCGGAGTAGAAAAACAGTTGCCATCTTAAAAATGCTATATTTGATTCCATTCATTCAGTTAGTGGGTGAGTCAAATAAAAACCTTGCTTTGCAGAATTTTCAAATTTCAGTGGCCACTCTTGTGAAGGACAATATTGCAAGCACATTGTAATGCATCATTTTGCTTGATTGTAAAGCCTGTGCTGTGTCATTATTACTTAGGAGGCTGAAGAAAGAGGCATTGCCTTCTCTGAAGTTTGAAAATCTAGGCAAGAAATCCTAAAGGTCTTCTATTGCTCCACTGTAGGGAATCTCATCTAAAAACCTGAAACTGCATAAGTAACCTGGTGGAAAAAGCTTGGGAGTCAAGAAACATCAAGGATTTCAAGCTCTAATTTGCTATTATTTGTAAATCACTGAGTCCTTGGATCTATTAGGGGCATTTCTTCCTTTTCTGTTTAGGATGCATTTCTCCAAATAGTTTTGACAAAGCTATTGTTATTATTATTTTTTTAATTTTATTGTTAATTATTTGTTAATTGTCTTTTCATTGAGCATGGTAACCTCTGATAACCTGCAGTTTAATTAGCATACAGACATGCTTTTTTTTTTCTGACATCTTCCTAGTATAAGATTGTGCTTAGTTGCCTCTTTGAGCAAGCGAATGTAAAATCCACAAGCACATGAAGGTCCTCTGTGTAGTTTACCAAAATAAATACTTGCTGGACGAACTCTAATAGAAATGCCTTATTAAAACCACAATATTTCTTAAATGATTACAGTTTCAGCAGTAGAAACAAAAGTTGTATACCACAATGGAAATCGCAGATGCATGATGGTAATTAGCTTCCTTGTTGCTCTGTCATGCTGCAGGGTTTGCAGATGACAATTAGATGATTCTTCATGAGAAGTTTATGGATAGGCAGGATGCAACAGTCAGGTTTCCTATGACATCTGTAAAGTACTTAGGACTGATGATGCACAGAACAATTCTAGTAATGGTGACTGTAGGATTAGACTAAGATCTAAAGTAAGTCCTTGCGAACTGCATTGTGTTGGCTAAAAAAAAAAAAAGCAATTACAGTCTGACATCCTAAATTCACGTGATGGAAGAAAAAGGCTAATGCTATGCATTTCTCTGAATAGAGAAAGAAGTTTGTGTTGCTAGTTGTGGTATATTTAACAGCCACTACTTCATTGTCGCCACCTCTGGTTCCCTGTATCCACTAGCTTTACTTCAGAGGGAGTTTCCCGAATCATGAATTCAGTTCTTTCCTGTTTTGACCAACCACATCTTAAAATCTGTTTTAAATACACCTAAATACCCTTTGTCCTTATTAAATTTCACTTCATATTCTTCCTGGTATTTATACATCTTCTGTTATAGATAGTCATCATGCAGCAGCCTTCCTTTTGCTACACTAAACATATTAAGCTGCATCTCCTCTCTTCTCCTGCCCTGTTTATGCTTTGTTCACTTAGCTGCCCATTTTAAACTTATTTTCAGTCTTTCTTGTTGGTACAGACCATACCTGTATCAGTGTATAGATCAATGGATATAAGAATATATAATACTTCCCTGTTAGAAATTTCTTGTTTGCTTCTTGGTGTCTGTCATTTTCAATGGCTGAGCACCACCCTAATCCTTTCACTGCTGTCACTTGAAGTTGAACTCCAAATTACCATAGAAATTATTAGTTTAAATGCATGACCTGGCGTTACAGCACTTCTTAATTAGCAAATCTAGATGTTATAACAATCCCCATACTTATTCTGGTTTGGATTATTCTCAGTATTGGTGATACTGCAGTTTCATCCGCAGGTACCATTGGCTTGTTCCTAACTTTTAAGAACTTCTGTGCTCACATCAAGAGAAAACTTGGAACTGATTCCAGACCAACTTAGCAGAATTCAACAAATTCCTTTTTCAACATGGCCTTTGTGCTTACTTTCAAATTCTTCCTCCTTGGTCATGCTAATTTCTGTCTTCTCTAGTTTAATTATAGGTTCTTCTTGTCAAGTTCAAGCGACTTACACTGAGTTCCTCATTCAGAATAAACGTTGTGTCAGCCTGATCCAGCATGTCCAGTGATTCATCTTTAACATGAACATCTTTGTGTTTGGTTGTAAGCCTTGGAAAGTGGAGATAAGAGTAAGTGTTTTACGTTGTTGAAAGTAACAAATAAAACTTGTAATCTGCAATTTGATATTTAAAAAGTATCCTTGCTGCCAGAATCACAATTTCATTTGCTGATTATTTCAGTATACTGGGATGAAGGTCACTAACTTTGCCATGTCAGCTGAGTCATTTAAGTTTCTTGGCAAAATCCTTCAGTCTGCTGCAAAACGTTGTGAGCCTGTGGATGGATGCCATCTACTTATTAGTAACGAATCTGAAATACGTAGTTTTAATCATAAGGAGTAAAATATCAATGGTGAAAATTGTTGGACATGCTATTTCAAGTAATCTAGCAGAACAACCTGCTGTTCTCCTTGCATGCTCTGAGTAAGGATGAAGTGTCTGTTTTTACTGTGGTTCCACCCAGCAGAACTGCGGACCCTGACAGCAGTTGTAAGGTTTGCGTGAAACCCTGATGTTTGGACTACAGTGGGTGGAGTCCTAACATGACTCACTGGGTAGTAACTCTCATTTCAGCAAACCAAACATTTTCTGGAGTGAACTGCACTTGCTCTGCTCCCTGTTCACACAGGAGGTTAACTCAACAGCTAACTTCGACTATCTGCATTTTAATTACTGCAGTCACAAGGTACTGTAAGAGGGAAAATACCTTTAGTACTTAACTTTGACTTGGATCACTGCAGTATCCTGTTGGTTTGTTATACTTTGACCCACGGTTCAAAGCTGACCAGATCTTGTTGCTTACTGCAAACTATAGGAAACTTTCCCCTTTAACTGTACTGACTAAAATATAAGATCAAAAGCAATGCTTTATATTAAGCGTGAAGGACTCCAACCAGGATACACATCACTGAGAAGCAGCAATGCATTTAGTGCCCTATGTTACAGGCAATAAATTACTTGGGGGGGGGGAAAGGGGGGGAAGTTTTGTTTTGTATGTACTGATAGCACACGGTACAAGTATATAGTTGAGACAAGTTCCTCTGGGCCAGAATTCTGTCCAGTATCATGTCTTTGCAGAAGATGCAAGGATATTACAAAAGAGAAGAGCAACAGTTTGTCTCCCTATTTTACTGAACTTGATTTTTCTAGAACTGGGAGGTTTTCTTGACTCTAGGGAGTTTAAGAAGCATTCCTATACATACAGCTCCAACTGTGGTAACAAGACAATGGATTTTCTTGAATATAGAGTGAAGTTTGATGACCACAATGGTCCCATTCCAATGCTTTAAAAGTCATTCCAGATATTCCTGTTAACAAACACACATGCAACACATTGAACATAGATTGGGATTCTTCAGATGTATGCTATTTTGTTTTCTCTCACTCTTTTCCCACTTGTTTGTAAAAACAGATGGTTCCTTTCTTGAATAGTTCAAATCCAAACAGTCCACTAAATACAAGAGATAAAGAATCGTGTTTTATAAGTGTGTTTGGTTCCTATGGAAACAGGGATTTTAATATATACCTATTCTGAAAGAAATGAGCTTAGCAGAGGTAAAGTATACTACACATCTGCTAGAAGCATAAATTGAAAAATGCTGTAAGGATTAAATTCTTAAAGCTGTTCATGATGTGTTCTGGACAAAGAAGATAAAAGCCCAATATTGCTGAAGATAGATCATTTATATTAGATTCTTTATATGTTTTTAGGTGCTTTTCACTTGAAGTGGGCAGGCATGGTAAATTATTAGCCACCTATTTTCTGCTGCCTGCACCTAATGCTATTTTACAGACAAAGAGAACAGTGGATTACTTGGCATCTAGCATTCAGGTACCACACAAAGTTACAGGATAAGATTGTTTGCATTTTAATGGTCTCTAAACTGCTAACATATGCTAATCATAAAGAGTAGGAAGAAGTTATTTTGAATAATCACAAGTAACCACTGCATAACAGCATGGGTGGATCCTTCATAAACTGTACCTTGCTGGTCAGAATCTCTTACAATTAGCCACAGGGTAAAGACAGGAATACGTGTGTGTAGGGTTTGTGCTAAATATAATATGAATAAGCATTACAATAGACTTAAAACACAAAACACTGACTGCACTTCCCACAGCAGTTAGTTGCATACAGGTGACAACAATAGAGATTTCGCCTAGGGAAAGGGGTGTATTAGTCAGGACAGTCCTACCTTTACGCCTTCTTGGGACCTAGATCTTGAGTAACTCTAAGGAAAAGAGGAACTCCCGCAGGCCTGACGGAGTCCTTGCTGTGCTTTGCCACTGCGCTGTTCTGGGGGTCTAGGTGACTTGGCTGACTGACTGCCAGCTACCGGACGAGAGATTTGAGCTGCACCCTCACGTGTTGCTAGCAAACAGACCTATTTCAAAGCCACACGCGCTAGGTAGGGTGCGATTTCACGGCACCGGTGCCAAGGGGAAGCCGCTCCGAGGCCGCCCCCCCGGCCTGCCGGGCGGGTGACCGAGGGCTCAGGTGTGGCGGCAGCGCCTCCCTCACGCAGCCCCCCCGCGGCACCGCCGCCCGCCGCTTACCTCCCCGCCGCTCCGAGGGAGGAGGGCGCATACCGCCGCCTCCGGGGACACGGGGCGAGCCTGCACGGACGGGAAAAGGGGTCCTGGGTTAGCAGGGGCGGCACCGCAGCGATCCGCTTGCCCGGGCCGGGGCGCGGCGGCCCTGCCCGCGGGCAGCGGGGCGGGCCCGGTGGCGGGGGCGGGGCGGGCCCCGCCTGGCCCCACAGCCTCCATTTTGCGGGGCGGCTGCGGGACAGAGGCCGGCGGCTCCGCGGCTTCCCTCAGGTGAGGCGGCGGGGAGGGGGGGTGGGATGTGGGCAGCTGACGAGACTCGCGCGTCCCCCGCCTTCAGCAGCCCGGCCTGGCCCCGCCGCCTCCGGGCGGGCTCGGGATCAGCCCCCTGGACCCCGGGGAGACCCCACAGCCTCGGGGGCTCGTCAGGGCAAGGAGCCGGCCCGCCCCGCAGCCCCGCTCTCCTCGGGAGGAGCAACCAGAACGGCTGCTACCTGTGGCCGTGCCTCGCCTCGCCTCGCCGCGCCCGGGGAGCTGCGGACCCCCGGGGGGAGCCCGCAGAGCTCCGTGACCGCCCTGCCCTGCCCCGGGCGGGTGGTGGCCCCTGGCCCCATGGGCAGGGCAGGGCAGAGCTGGGCGGGGCGGCCCCCGGGGGTCCTTTAAAGACGCCGGGGGTGGGTTCGGGGCTGATTCGAGCCCCCTGCCCTGCCCTGCCCGCACCCTGTCCCCACCCCTCCTGTCCCCACCCCGGGCCCTCCTCCGCCCGCCCGGTGTTGCGCAGGCAGCGCCCCCGCCCCGCCCAACTGACCAAAAAAACACCAAAAATTTGGACGCCGGGGGTCGGCTGGGCCGGCAGCGTGCCGGGAGCCCCCACAGGCTGAGGCGGTGCGGCTGGGCGGGCGGTAACGGGCCCGGCCTCAGGTGCTGTGAGGGAGGCGGTGAGCCAGGGGAGCAGCTGCGGTTTGTTATGAAGTACTTGGTGTTGTGTAAGGGAATTCGTGCCTCTCCATGTGTGTATGAAGGCTGTTTCAGTCAGTACTGCTGGCTGGGCACTGTAAGGTCTTCAGAGACTCGGGTACCTGAGGCGAGTCTCAAAGCCCCGCTTGGCACTGAAGGTACCGCCCAGAACGATCAAGGAAACTGACAAAAATTTTGTCGTCCTCCTGAGTTACAAACACAAAATAAGAAATATTGATGGGGTCTGGGTAGAGGGGGATGATTAAATGAAACGCTGCCATTCCCAAAAGAATTTGGGTCACAAATTATCCAAATCCTAGAAAAGGAACTGAAACAGTGACAGTAAGGAAGGTGTTAAGCAGTTTTAGCGTGCTCTTTGTCATCAGTGTACACAGGTGGTTAATTTGGGTCCCATTTACATACAAATTAAACTTTTTACAGTTGTCAAAACAGCTGACCTGCAGTCACCAGCTGTTGATTTTGCACTATGAAAAGCAAAGAAAGTAATAACAGGGGAAATGATACTGTGCACACCTTCAAGTTTTACGTGTTATTGTTTTGCTAACAGTGTAACTTTAATTGAATTATATAAAGCTGAAAAACAGAAGTTTTGGGGTTTTATTTTTTAATATTCAGTTTTGCGGGCAGTATTTTCCTCTAAGCAAGAGGAGTGGCACTGAAATCCAGAGGAAGTGTTGCTAGTCATCTTGTTCCTGAATAGAGTTACAGTTGGTGTTTAAGTAACAGAAATACCAGAAGAAATGTGTTGTTGAGAGCCAGAATTAAAAGTCAACTCAGATAGCTGTCAGCAGTAAATACTGTACGGGCATTGGTTTAAGGAGTTTCCTCTTAGGGAAACAAATAGCAATTAGTGGTGTTTATGATCAAAGCATAGATCCACAAGTACACCTCATACCGTTCTTCACCCCCTCTAAGAGATGATCATAGTTTATCAGTAGGAGACCGTATAGTTGTACTGTTCTACAAGTTTGTTTTGGCTCTTGTTTGAACTAACTTGCTCTACGTTTTAATGTTTTCCACATTAAATCTGAGATATTTCAGGCAATAAGTTCTTCTGCAATTAATGGTACAATGCAGTAGGAATACTGCTTTCATAACCATTTGTTTTGGCCACCAAGTAACTATAAACATAAATAGTCATTAACTGTATTACATGTGTAGTTATATATCCAATTTCCTTTGATTTATGCAGCTAAGATACTGTCTTATAAACGTGCAGGGAGTAACTCCCAGTCCCTGATCAGGGAATCTGGCTCGTTAGCATTAACAGGATTTTTTCCCCTGCCATTAGTAGTTTGTAGATGTTTAGTAGTGTGGCTAATGACGTCAAAACTCCTTGCCCAACTGGTTGGGGACATGGTCGACGATCTCTGGCCTATTCTGCTTCTACTCCCCAGGTCCCTCTATTAAAAATGTGACTAAAACAAATAGTTACTACCAGGAAACAGAAATTTCCTACACAAATTAAATAATGTTGAGGGATTACAAATGATGTGTGGTGGAAATTGGGAAGCTGAACTCATGCCTGGACGCTTCCTCATTTTGGTGTTTTGTTTGAGCACGAGGGCGATAGTATTAAAGTAAGAAACAAAAACAATTCCATCAGCATAAAGTATTTGTAGAGAGGCTAAATTCACTCTTTCTCTTCGTAAATTCTAAAAATAGCAGCTTAATTAATTTTTAAACAATTTTAAAACAAACAACAAAAAAACCCACAACAGATTTCCTCCCTTCCCAGCCCAAGCAGTTCTTACACACGTGACAATATGCATGGGTTACTGAGGAGCTGCTCTGAAGGTGGGTTTCGTGCTGGGATCTCCCCCTCCAGCAGGTTTCCCGCCTCTTTCCCTCTTCAGCGACCTTTATGCAAGACAGGAATGTCTCACGGAGGCACTCCTTGGCAGAATAGTCAATGAAACACTAAAAGGCATGCATGCTCAAAACTAGGCACCTTTGCTACTTCTTTTGTCTGACCTTTTCCTCCCATTTTTTGGCACTGCTTATCTGTAAATTTGTATTATGCTAATAGCTTTTTTAAAAATTTCTTTTCCAACCTTAATGATTCTAAAACATTTAGATTATAAACCTCCATTTATAGAGTTTTCTTTCTTATCATTAAGTACTCATTTTAGCTAAAAATTTAGATCTTTGCAAGCCTTTTTCATGGTGCACTGACCAGCATCTGGTGCAGTTTAATTTTAAAGGATGTCCCATGTCATCAACACCAGAAAGTCTGAGTCACTGTGCTTTGCAGGAGTCAGACAACTGTGGAATTTTGAAAGAGACTTAAAGGTCAAAGTAACTGAGTTGTGATTGCTCAACCACCATGGTCCTCCCATGCTTGAGCTTGCCATTAACATGTGCATAGTGAAGCTGTCCTGCTGTCATACCTGTAACAGCTCGCGTAAATTTTGTGTGTGTTATTTTTAGTTTAATCACTTTATTTGATCTTTTAAATCATTGGTCTGCATTTAGCAGTGCACACAGATCAGAATAGCCAAAAGCAGGTAATAGTTGGCCACAAATGATCGAATGATCCTTTTCTCTGGGATTGATAAGGAACTACTCTCCTCACAATAACTATTCCTGTGAATGGAGGAGTGCAGGCTGACAGGAGAAATGCTTGATGCGTTACAGAATTGAGACCTACTTTAGCCTGACTCTTCTGTCTCTATTCTGGCAGAGGCTCAGCCCCCTTCTGCTGGCACTTCAAGGTCTGAAAATCTCTATTTCAGAATTATTAGGGAGTCAGGTCTCTTACCATGTGTCAGTATCTCTTTGACACTAATTAAGGGCAGCAGTTAATTGCAAAGTTGATGATGGTTCTCTTCAGAATCCTGCTTGCTGCTGTCATGTGTATGGAAAAGGGAAAGGTTTTGTGGTTTAGTAGCTGACAAATACTCTTAGCAATACCGAATGCACTGAACACGTTGTTCAAGTGATGTCACGGGTAATTAGCCAGCAAATAGCTAGTGCAAACTCATCTACAGTGCCTGACAATTTTTTTTTTCTTTCCAGAATGTCATACCCAGGCTATCCCCCTTCTGGCTACCCTGGTTTCCCTGGCTATCCTGTAAGTATGGTTGTTAAATGTGCTGCACTTCTAACGCATTTATGTGCTGTCAGTAGCCCTTCTTACCATGCTGTGCGTGTGTGTAAATAGCAGCTGTTAGTCCATATAAAGGATTTGCTATAGATGATGGTCTTTGTTGTCATCCACATATCTATCCCCAAGTGAGACTCTACAGTTGTCTCACATGAATTCCAAGAAGGAAGTTTATGACCTATTTTTTTAATATTGCCTGTTGTTCCAGAAGGGTTTTTGGTCGGTTGGTTGGTTCTGCTTTGGTCTGATGCCCTGGTCTTGAGGGTTGTTTTTTCTCTCTCTCTATAGCTAACTATCTCAGCAAATAATTTTTTGAAGTATCAGTAGTTCTTACATAAATGGAAGGGTCTTTAGGTACAGGATCAGAGGTATTGTCTGAACCAGTCTCTACCAAATAACGTGTGTACCCGTATCGCAGTATTTACAGAGATGCTGAACAAACTTAAGTGACTATTACACTCAGGAAGAGTAAAGCTGCTGAGCAATCCAAGCTCACGTATGCAGCTTTCATACAACACCAAGTAAATATTTTTCTGAGGATACAGGACACTGTAGCTTGACTTTGACCCCCCCAATCCTTCAGCCACAGTACTTTGTTCCACCTTCAGCTCATGACTGAACGGACTATATATTCCAACAAAACACAGGAGGATGGAACGTATCAGGTGTGGCTGATACTGCAGTGTTTTTGATATGCCTGCATCATTTTTCAAAGCTAGATGCAGCTCTATGCTTTTGTTAGTACAGTGCTGATAATGTGATTGTGGGAATTTTATATGGTTTGTTTTATGCTGTACTGAACTAGACTTAAGGATGGAGCTCACTGTATCCTGCTAAAATACTGAAAAGCTCTAAAGCTGTAATTTATCCTGCTTGCCACTTTAACTATATTGTATGATTTATTTTTATTTTTTATTTTTTTTTTAAGCTAGCATCTAAAATGTAGCCAACTTTAGTGGATGAATTTAAAAAAAACCTTTAAATGCTAGATGAGTCATTCTAGGTTTTCTAGTCTTACTCATGATGCCCAAAGCAATAACCTGTGCAAAAAAATCAATATGAAAGATTTCCTTCTATAATGGCCATCCTAGCAGGGCTTTTGGGGATCCTTACTTTGGATTTGTGAATTTAAATTCCATTAAAATCTTTTTGTTGAGTCAGGCTGAGAAAGGTTAGACTACCGCTATGGAAGTGGATCTCACTGTACTATGGGCACAGTAATCTGGGGCTAAGAAATATTGGAGCAACCAAACCTGAGGAAAACATCTGAGGTAGACTTTACTATTTTGCTTTTTATGTGTTTTCTGTATGCAAGAATGGGTGTGTACTGTACGTAATGTGTGGCTCACCCTTCTATTGTTTGTGAGTAAGGACTGTTTCCACTAAGTATTAAGTCCATATGGTACGTGTTATAAAGCTGATTTTAAATACCTGTTTTTTAAGAGCAAGAGAACCCATCTGGAAGGCCCACACCCAGGCTTAGGGAATACTGAAGCTGCTCCTAAGAGCTAAATCTAATCACAGCATTATATACATGGACACTTTGAGAGTTTTTACTCTAGCATCCTGATAATGGGCACACAGAGATCTTTGGGCTTTGTGTTTCAGCCAACAGGGCAGGAGTCTGTCTATCCACCAGCTGGTCAGTACACCTACCCTGCAGGATACCCCCCTGCAGGAGGAGGGACCTACCCTGCGGCACCACCAAATGCTGGGTATCCAGGGGCAGCGGGATATCCTGCCCCAGGGGGCTACCCTGGAGCTCCCCAGGCTGGAGGAATGCCATCTTACCCTGGAGGTAAGGTCCTTTGTTACAGCACCACTTGGGAGTTATTTCTGTTGTAACTGTTCTTTGTGCTTGGTAGATGTAGTAATGAAAAGCAGCTTTGTTCAGTGATCAATTTAGGCAGCAGCATTTAGACAGCTAGACAGATTGCTATCTAGCATAAATACTTGCATGCTGATAGCAGGGCCTTGATACCTTTGGGTTTTAGGCCACTGCACACACACAGAAAAAGAAAATTAATCTCTTGCATAGCTCTGCTCAATAACCTGGCTCATGTTGTGCCAGAAATCACTTACAAAATTTCTTTTGCTAAAATCTGCCATCTTCTCTTAGCCCCTGCAGGCCCTGGGTTTGGTGTGCCTCCTGCTGGCCCTGCCTTTGGTGGCTATCCCCAGCCTCCTGTCCAAAGCTATGGTGGAGGTGGACCAGCGCAAATTCCAGGTACGTGGCTGTTTCCCTGCCATATGTTAAGATACTTCAAGCATCCGAAGTTAAACTAGGAGAGCCCAAGACAGGTAGCAACAAAACAGGCCCTTATCTTTGCTACTTTTAGCTAGGTTTGTATGCTGTACACATCCTGCCACCTTTCTTGATGAGACCAGTAAAGAGCAGATGAGAACCATCTGTATACATTACATCCAAAAGGGACGTCTGTCACTGGTTAATGATCATGATGTGGTCATTTAGGTGCTTGTCGTTCTTCAGACTGCAAGTATTTGACCAGAACTGTGAAATCCAGAGGCAACATTCACCAAGTACCTAGCTGCTCTCTTAATCTCAAAGAAATGGATGTGTTTTTCAGAATCTGAGCAGCTCTGTGTTCATGGTGATCATGGGCATTGAGGGGGAAGTGGAAAGGAGAATACACACCATTGCTTAAAAACAGTGCAGTTTTTTTTTTTATACTTTGAGTAGTCAGTTACCATTAAGAACATTTTTATCCTAGAACATGTCAGTTGTGGCTGCAAGAAATTCAGAGTAGCAAAACCTTTCTTTTAAACATTGTTTCACTGATTCTAATAACTAAGCTGCTGTTAAAAAAAATAACTGTACATATGTACTATGGATAAAAATAAACTTCTAGCATAATAAATGTAGTTGCAACATTGGTATTCACAGTGCTTTTGATCACAAAATGAGATTCCTTCAGTTCTTTTTGCACCAATGAATTCTCAGTATTTATTGTTAATTTGTTAGACATTTTAACAGAGTAATACAACTTTGCAAGACAGCACAGGACATGCATTCTTCATTGGCATGGCCTACATTAGTTTTTGTCAAGAATAGTACTATTTAATAAGGAGAGATCCTTCCAGCGCCCACACCACCAGTAAATTTAGTATTTTTAGAATTCCCTTGCTAGTGTGTATACCAGAATGCTTCTGTGATTACTTCTTCCCATTGTTCCCAAGGGCAAGAACTTCAGTTACTGATCATTAAAACTACTGTTCCTTAGCAAACAGGTTTTGTGCAGTGGTAGACCTGTAACTTACCAAGTCTGTAAATGGCTTTATTTTCAGATTAGATAGCATTTACATAATAAAAGGAATTAATTATATTTCTTATCTTGTTCTTTAATTCATTTTCAATAGACTATAGTGGTGGACAAGCACCGTCACCAATGCCTGGTCTGGTATGTGTTGTATCTTCTTCTATAATCAACCTTAAAGTGGCTTCTGTATTTTTTTCACCTTGCTGTTACTGGGGTAGAGCAGTGTCTTTACAATTGGTTGTGTGGCAGGGGGTAGGGAGGAGGACTGAATATGAGCTGGGGATATGTCGTAGAGGAAAGGGCATGTGATGGCTGAAAATGTATTTTGATGTTAGCATTACACATTGTTCAGTAACAATTGTTCAATAATTGTCCTTGTCCATAATGCAAGGAAGAACTGCTATGAGAGGCAATTTTGAGCAAGGGGAAACTCAAGTAATTAAGTTCTGAAAGCACAGTGTCACTCACTGCAGCATTTGGGTCATCCATGATGTTATTTTAGAGGGACACTGTGCTAAAGGCAAAAAAAAAAGTACCAATCTTGGCCACACAGAAAAGTAATTTGTTGCCATTGCTTTCAATAGGATTCATATTTACACCTCTGTAACTTGAAAAAAATAAATGTAAGCATATTTGCATGCAGACATTTTAATATAGCTTTTCTTAATGAGTTTGATATGAAAGGGTATAAAATGGTTTAAAAGCAGCAAACTGTCCTTTACCAAAAAAGATGTCTTTGCAGATGAAGTTAATGTACAGAGTATTCTGCATCAAGAGCTCCCAGCTACGCTCAGAATATAACCCAAACAAAACCATAACACTGTACCTGTGTATACTCATCATGTCGATCCTCATCCATGCCACTGTATAAAGGCATTGGTGGGCCCAAACCGTTGAACACAATTAAATGCCATCCTGCTTCTGGGTTAGAAAAAATGGTGAACTCATAGAACGAACCATTCTGTGATTTCTGCTGAAGCGCTGACTCCAAAGTTGTGATTTTAACTTTAATTTATATTGTGCAGGACAGCTAGTTAAACACAGCTCTTATTTTCAGCCTGCAGCAACGGTTCAGTATACCCAGGGCACAATTCAAGCTGCTCCAAACTTTGATGCTAACAGGGATGCAGAAATTCTGCGCAAAGCTATGAAGGGGTTTGGTAAGTAAGCAACAGCTACTTAAATTTCTGTTTGTCTAACTTACTAAGACTATTTGGTCTTTTTCTTCAGTTTTTACTGTATTTTTTTTTTCTATTTTATTTTCTATTATTTATTTTCTATTTCATTTTCTCAAAAATCACACTTCCAAAATGACTTGGTCAATTTAATAGACTAAGATAAATAGGAAATTTGGTAAATTGACCTAATTGATATTCATGCATGTATTAGGTAACTATGCCCAAACTGGCAATTATAAAATGCATAGTGTTGGAAGGATTACTACATGGATTCTATGATTAAGCTCTTACATTGCCTTTCTGTGTTCAAGGAACTGATGAGCAGGCTATCATCAATGTTGTAGCTAACCGCTCCAATGATCAAAGGCAAAAAATCAAGGCAGCCTTCAAGACTATGTATGGCAAGGTATGTTCGCTAGCTCTTTGAATCAGTAAACAAAAAAAAACACAAACTTTCAGCTGCTGCTATAACTGCCTGACTGCATTTTAGTCCTGGGAAGTGGTTTGGGGCACTTTTAAAATGCACCTCTTTTGGTTAACTTTTTGTTGCATACCAGGTGAACAGCTGCTATTTACCAGTGTTGTTCTGATATCTGGTAGAAGCGAGGGCACAGGGGAGTCTGGCTAGGACCCTGACTGAACAAGCAGATTCTCTGAGTTTGCTATGATTATTAGATAAGAAAATAATCAAGCATCAACTGTTTATGTATTAGTCTGAAAATAATGAGCTTTTCATGTGCACAAACAAGCTCAAAAATATTTTTTTTTTCCACTCATAAGAACCAAACTGAGGAATTGGTTGAGAATGGTGGTGATTCCACACCAAGGGCTTAGCTCGCTAGAGTAATTCAGCGCCATGCCATTATTACACTCATTGTGCTCATTTTAAAAGTGCAGGCCGGTACCTAACTCCTGTTTCCTTTTTTATGATCCATAAGGAAAGGAGCGATGTCTGTGCTTTATAGGGAATGGTAGGGATAACAATGTGCTGTAGCAAACAGGAGCACAAAAAGATCATCAGCTGCTCAAAGTGGATGGTTTGGGATACGTTTGTGCCACTTGAACAGTGTCACAAAATATTTTCTAGCCCCCACACTATATAATTACTAAATTTTTATATTTATAATTGGACAGGATTTAATTAAAGATCTGAAATCTGAATTAAGTGGAAATGTGGAAGAATTGATTCTAGCACTCTTCATGCCTAGCACCTACTATGACGCCTGGAGTTTACGTCATGCGATGAAGGTACGGTTCTCATCTGAACAAATAGTTAAAACCATCTTAAAGCACTCATCTAAGAGAGCAGAATACCTGATCCCTGCATTGTTGAAAAATGCTGTGGTGGAAAGTAAATGTAGAGACTGGGGATTAAAATTATTTTCTGCTTTATGCCCCAGTGCTGACCAATTTTTGCAGGATTGGCCAATTTGCAGCAGATGTACCACAGGGGATGAAGTGCTGCAGGATGGAATTTTGTTCTCTGACACTCTCTTAGTCACTTTTTGCTACAATCTAGTAAGAGCCATGGTGCTTTTAAGCTGTAACCACTGTTTAAATTGAAATTTACATACCTCTCCTTGCTGGGAACAAGCCACTGGTACAGAAAGATATTTTTGGATTATCTCAGGTTTTTCAACAGAACAAAAATGAAAGAATATTTTCTTAAGGTCAGGTGATGCACGTTCAGGTGTTAAGACTGCACTGGAATTTAGATCAGCTACTTGGATTAAACTTTTCATTCAGGTAAACTGGTATGTCCAGCTTGCTTGAGTTACAGTAGTGAGCAAGTGCCTGATTACTGGAAACAAGTCACTTAACCCATGTATGAATGTGGAGCTCTAAAGAATATGGAGCACAAATGGAGATCTAGCTTTACTGGAGGCAAAAAACACTCAACTTTTTTTTTTTTTTTAATTTATATTACAATACTGCTTATAAGTCTCACATAGATCTACTCCTTGCTTGAATAGAAATGGGCCATGCCAGTAAGATCTGACTGTACACAGAACCCACAGTTAATTTCTATCCTGAGAGGGAAGCATCTATGAAAAGTTCCTGATGACACTCTGTGTTGAGGAAGCAGCCACATTTGGAATGGGGAACACACTTGTACACTGATCAAGATAGGGTTTACATGCATACAGTAGCCTTTAAAGCAAGAGATAAGGCTCTGCCTTCCTCCGATATGTTCCCACAATAAGGCTGACAAATAATTTCTTCATTTTCTTCCTAAACCTTTTTCCTGTTATCATGGCTGATGTCACCATTGTGGGCGTGCAGTTGTGGGGTATTTCTTAAGCTAGTGCAGAATTTAATGTTTTGGAAATTTTCATTCCTTTTTAAGTAAGCATACAGTAAACTTGGTGCTTTCACACTGCAAGAATACCATTCTTACAATGTAGATTGTATTGAGTTTTAAAGTAACAGGTGACTGCTTTTCTTCCTCCACAATAGAACAAAAAGTAGGTGGCGTTTTGCAGTTACACCTTCTTTTCCTCTGCTTACAGGGAGTAGGCACCCAGGAGAGAGTGCTGATTGAGATCCTTTGCACGAGGACAAATCAGGAAATACGAGACATAGTGAACTGCTATAAGTCAGAATTTGGAAGGGATATCGAACAAGACATCAGAGCAGACACTTCTGGACACTTTGAACGATTACTTGTATCTATGTGCCAAGTAAGCTTGAATTTTTCTTGCTTATTTTGTTAAGATATGGGTATACACTCTTTGCGTATGTTTATAATTGCTCCGTAAATAAATTGCCTGTGCATGCTTAGCTAGAGCTAGGTTTTGTTAGAATTTAGCACTAGACTACTAAAACATTCCCTAATGATAAGACAAAGCACCTCAGCCCCTCCTCAAGGAAGAGTTGCTTCCTTTCTATATGATGATCTGAGTGACTTAATTGAGCACCCTATTCACCTCAGAGAACTTGTGTTTTTTTTTTTTTTTTGTTTACTGAGCAGATGCAATCAAACTGTAAATAGCACAACCATTGTTCCACGCTGCTGTTAAAGCCAGACACTATTCCTTTTTTTGCATAAACAAAATCATTTGGGTAATACTGATACGATAAACTTTACGGTAGGTAAAATATCTGTGAGAACCCCCCAAACAAGCCTAGAGGCACTGTAAACCAAAACTTACCTCCCAAGTCACATCGCAGCCCTCCCTTCAGAAAACTAGAATTAGTTACGTGCTGCTGCTGAACTCAGTTGAACATTGAAGGCTGCTTATTTCGTATCATTAATAGGGCTCTTTTTTGCGTTGAAGATTAGTAAGTTGCAGTTTAGGAAGAAATACATAATAAATGTAACTTCCCAAATTTTTGTGATAAGTCTGCCTATTTGCTGTTAGAATTTCTATGACTATCTTGTTTGCTTCTACCTTTATGAAAGTTCAGCTATTCACTAGGTATTAGGATTACAAAGTCAAAATCCACAAGAAAGCAAAGCTTGAGAAGCTCATGCTAATTTTTATTTCGATAAATCCAGTACTTTACAGTAACTGACAACCACATAATTTAAATATTAACTGCTACAGACACAACAGTATTTAAGAGCATGTATTTAGCCTACTCAGCCAGTATATTTAGCAGTATCCATCCATGCATTGTGCAGAAAAAAAAACAAACAAATCCCAAAGCACATAAAATGTCACACAAGCCCTACTTGACATATAACAACTATACTAAGTGCTTTTTAAAGACATTCATACTTGAAATTAGCAAATTCTAAATATAATAGAAAGCCTGAGATATTTCAGGTGTGCATATTCAGTAAGATAATTCATTAGTTCATTTGGGAAGATTCTTTGCAACTTGAAGCCTAGAAACAAATCAAGAGAAAAACTTACATTATTAAGTAAAACAGAGAATTGATCATAGCTCCTGAAAAAGACTAGACCTATGAGATGGTACGTATAGGCAAAATTATGTGCCAGTACGTATACAGTATATCTACAGCTTAAACCAAACACTACAGATAGAAAAGTGGCCCAAAAGTCCTATTTTCTACTTACAAGAATTATTAAACCAAAAACGTAACCTTAAAACAACGTAATATATTTCAAACTGGTGTTACTCTCCCTACTTCTAGCTTTGGACATACGCGTGCGGGGTCTACACTTCAAGCAATTAAAACATAGCCTTGTCCATGTAACAATGTTCAATATCTGCTATCTTTGCTTTTAGGGGAATCGGGATGAGAATCAAAATGTGGATTATCAAAAAGCTCAAGAAGATGCTCAGCGTCTTTACCAAGCAGGAGAAGGAAAACTTGGGACTGATGAATCATGCTTTAATATGGTTCTGGCAAGCAGAAGTTTTCCCCAATTAAAAGCAACAGTTGAGGCATACTCGAGGGTAGGAGTTCTTCACTGATTTCAAATGAGTTTGTACAGCATTTTTTGAATTAAGTTTCCACTTGTTGCATTTCACTATCCACATGTTAATCTAATTTATTTGTAGATTGCTAATCGTGATTTGTTAAGCAGCATCGATCGAGAATTTTCTGGAAACGTGGAACGTGGCTTGAAGGCTATTTGTAAGTAATACGTTCTTCCCTCTCCTTATCTTTTGGCAATAAAACCTTCTAAATGTAATTGAAGAAGAACCCAATTCAGCACTGTCCATATGGCAAACGGATACACAGTCTGAGACTCCACTAATACAAAAGTAACTTCAGTTATTCAAATTACTCACTATTCACTTAGTTTGAAGAAAGTAAGCATCTAGTTTGAAGAAGTCAGTTTGAAATGAGGAAAGGTTACATAGAAACTACTTGTCACTTTTCTGGAAAGACATGTAACTACACAGAAATGGGTCAATGTTTAGAGCTGGTGGTTCTGTGTGTCAGCACTCTGCAAAATTATGTGAGTACCAGTGTAACAGAGCAGTGGTGGTGGTTGTGTGGCACCTCAGCACAGACAGCTGAACCACCTCCACACGAGTGCAGAACCAAGAAGAACCTCCTTTAGGCACAATTTACTTTCTAGTTCTCTTCTCCACCATCACCTACTCCAAAAAGTTCAGCATTTTCTAAAGCAAATGTCACCAAAATAGAATAGCTGTTTTGAATTCGCTATTCGCTATTCCCTGCTGACTTATTGTACTAAAGCACTACAAATTTATCATGATTCGCTGTTAGTGAGAACCAGTATGATTTACTACTAATGAAACAAATACTCCATGCCCAAGTCCCACCAATGCTTAACAAAGTGACTGCATTTCTGCAGCCATAACCATTAAAACCTATTGTATTAAACAAAATCTTCCCAGATAATATTCTACTAAAGAGTTCTACTGGAAAAATTCACCTCTGAAATCATGTAAAATAAAGGCTTTGAGAAGGAAGAAACTAACTGAAACAAAATCAATTCCACAGATACTTGAGAATGAGAACTTTTTACCTTTGTACTTTTGCTAGTGAGACTCTACCAATGGACCAAAAGTTGAATACCTCATATCCTAGTACTAGCTAGCCAAAGAAAAGATCTGTGCATAGATTTGGTAAATTAAGGTTTCAGCCAGCTTTCAAAAGCACTTCTAGGCAAGTTAACTGGTAATAACTGTAACTTTTCTTGTGAAAGGTTAACTGATTTGTTCAGATACAAAATAAACTCAGCTTTATAAAGCAGTTCCTGTAATCTACAGTATTGAATCTTTATTGATATCTACCTCTAGCTGTCTACAGCATAAATCTTGACTTTATCATGCTAGGTATCACCATACAGCATACTATACTAGAACTAATCCTAAAAATATACTTTATTGCAGTGCAATGTGCTTTAAATCGCCCAGCCTTTTTTGCAGAAAGACTTTATTATTCTATGAAAGGAGCTGGCACGGATGATTCCACTCTCATCAGGATTATAGTCACTCGCAGCGAGGTAAGAAACTTCCTCTTCTGTAGACCTCACATGTAGCCAGCCTTCTATGTAGTCCCTCCTTCACAGCTGTAGAAATCATGTACTGTAATGAAGCTTTTATCTGGTTCAGATGTGGATGAACAAAACAATTGGTTTTAACGCCAGGTTTCATACAGTAGTTTAATTATCTCTAGCTAAATAGTGATATTACATGTCTACCTTCCTAAATGTGGTTGCCCATCTCTGTAGCAGAAAAGCATCTCAACTCCAAAGGTTCAACTGCATGAACTAAGGATACTACAGTCCTAGCAAATTTAGGTAAGGTTCTCAGGTTGCCCAGAGAGTTGCAGAAGTGTTCAAGGCCAGGCTGGATGGGGCTTTGAGCAACCTGGTCTAGTGGGAGGCGTCCCTGCCCATGGCAGCGGGGTTGGAAGCAGATGAACTTTAAGGTCCCTTCCAACCCAAACCTTTCTGTGATTCTCTGAAAGCAAGGAGCACCTGTTAAGACTGCTTTGGGAGCTGCTTATCTGTCTGTAGAGGGAACTGAGGGCTTGTACAATGTGCACAGTTAATCAGTTGCACATTACACCCTTGGCTGGTATTCTATAGTCTGTGAGGGAGATGGGGGTAAGTGTCTAAGAGTTCAGATCATGCATATGTTTAAGCTTTGTGCTTTTTTTTTTCTTTGCAGATTGATCTTGTGCAAATTAAACAGGTGTTCTCACAAATGTATCAGAAGACTTTGGCTTCAATGATATCAAGTGATACAAGTGGTGATTACAGGCGTTTGCTACTGGCAATTGTTGGTCAATAGAAGAGGATTATCTGTTCGTTGGTTTTCATTTTTAAAACAAACTGGAGGACATGTAACATGCTTTATGCAGACACTGACCCCTTGTGCGTAAAAGAGTAATTTTAAACACTATATAATCAAAGATGCCTTCTTGGTGATTTAATAAGCTTTTTGCACTTACCCTTGCCTTAAATTTACAGCACATAATATTCTTTATTGTATAATAAAAGATGTATCTTGTCTATTAGCCTTAAGTCTTAGTTCTTTTGGCCCAGACAAAACCATCTCCCCTCTGCCAACCTCCTGCATAATTAGACTTCCTTGAAAAATCTAAATTTAACTGCTGAACTAACCATGGATTACAAAAAAGCCTGAGGCGATGACGTAAAACATTTTACAAAAACCCAGCCAGGTTCTCTAACAAAAGCCCTCTTTGAAGTCCTTCCATGCTAATACTAAAACACAAGTGCTCAGTTTAAGTCACATTACACTAACTGTTTAAGTACCTAAGCAGAATTTGACTGTACCCCCCTATTTAAGTTCTTAAGTTAATTATGTTTAGCAGTTAGTTATGATTGTGATTAAGGCAGAAAAAAAAATAAAATCTAACCTAATTTTGAAGAATCACCTTGTAAAGGAGTCGGTTATGCTCTTTGTTCATTGTCCAGTAATTTGCTGTAAGTAGATGCTAACACTACAGAACATGTGTAAATTCAAACTGGAAGTGACAGCAACATAGATGATACAATTGACTATGTGGATGGTTTCATAGCATTAAAAAAACAAACAGCTTTGACAGTACATTTGTTTTTTCGAAAACCACAGCAAATCTGTCCCCAGGCAGCTGTGAAGTCCAGCAGCTAACAATGTATTTCCTAACATTTCTAAGCAATGCTTTATCAAGTAAAACAAATAAATATATATATATATATACATATATATATATATATACACATATATATATATACATAGAAACTTCACATAAACAGCATAGCTCTATTTTTGTTGGTCCTCAAACAGAATTAGCTAGCAAGAGTAGGGTTTATTCTAATAGGGAAAACCTTTCACTCATGCACACCAAGTACATAAAAGTTTTTGCAAAACAATGGCAGATACCAAGTCTACTATAAAAAAAGACTCAAGTACTTCACTTATATAAAACACTCTACAGCTGTGTTCTCTGATATTATACTTAGAAACACAGTCCAATTTAAAATTTCTGAGTCAGATCAAAGCTAAATAATCCAAATGTGAATGACGCAGATAAGTTGATTTGGGGAGACTAAAGGACATTCCACTGCGTATTACTTTTGTCATCACTGGTGCAAGTATCCACAGTGAGATACAAGTGTATATATATATACACACAGAGACACGTTTTTATATATATATATATATATAATTTATATATATAATTTATATATATGTTTATATATAATTATATGTCAATAGGCTTCCAAGCATAACCAAGACTCTCATGAGGTTTGGTTCTTGTTTCTTTAATCTTGAGCAAACTTCCTTACATGTGAAGAAACTTTGAATTTAATAATTAAAGTGTATTAATGCACCTGCATCTTTTCATGCAACTCAAATATCCCCACGCATTTGTCATGCAAAGCAGAATGTTGATTCAATCTGTATCATACATGCTGTCACTACAAGAAAATGAACAGATGAAGAGACTTCTATGTCCTAATGTCATTCACATGTTTTATGGCAAAAAGTTATTTTCCTTACATGCTACTAATAAAGAATTATTAAATGGGTAATAAAAATTGAATGAAGCGATGCAAGAGAAGAATGAACAATATTAGGAAGAATACTATCTATCCTGCCTCTGAAACAGCCTAATTTTTACATATAACTAACATAATGGTGTTTCAAGATTAAACATTAGAAAAAAGAAAGCCATTTATGAGACTATGCCTGTTAAAAACTGTTCAGACTCAAACCAGGATTCTACCTCAAAGAAAAAAACATCCCCATCCCAAACACTTGTCTTTTTGCTAAAAAGACCAATCTTCTTCACAATTAAGTTTTTCAATTTCACAATTTGGAATTTAATTATCTTTGAAAGGAAAACTATTATATAACACTAGGTAATTTCAGATGATGAGGTTATGTTCACCATTTAACTAAATGCAAGCAGAACATGTAAATTAGGCTGATCTTCCCTATTTGGCTCACCAGGTGGCAGCAAGCTTCTCGACAGTACCAAGTCCTGTTTTAGCATGACCCCAGAACACCACACTCAAACACATTCTGTACTTTCAGGCCTGCTTTTCAGTTTCACTAAAATGCATTCAGATTTCTCAGAGCAGCCGGAACACCTCCCCCAATCCCCAGCCATCTGTGAATTCTCATTGCATGTCGCAGCACTACAGGTGCTGTTGAGATTCAGCAGCTCAGGGCAGGACGTGGCCAGGTCCCTGGGCCCTCCGGGGGTGCCCACTGAGCCCCATGCAGTGGAGCAGGAAAGCAGTGACTGCTCCAGCTCGAGCCAGGAACCAGCCATACTTTGCTGCTTGCATCCTTCAGCTCACAAAGCTATCTTCCAAGCGTTCTGCTCTTCCTACCCAAGAACAGTCAGGTGACATACAGCCTTCCCCCCACTTAAAACACTGAAAGCAGAAAACATACAAAGCAAAACTACTTACGGTTTTCTGGGAGGGAGGATACTTTTTTTTTTTTTCTCGTCAACAATACAAGAATTAGAGACAGCTGCAGGCTCCACCTTTCAGAAACACAGTAGCAAAAAATGAGTACTTGCTTCCTAAACAGAGGAAGTCCACAGACACAATCCTGTCACCTGAGGGCTTGCTTAAAGGGCAACATGAAAAGTACACAGCAGGAGAAGAGGCTGAAAAAAATTGCCCAGAAATTTTCCTCTACTGCACCTCTGCCTTCATACCTGGCAACAACTACTCATACAACTGATTGTTGTTGGAGAATCAGAGCACTGACTGCTGGACAAGAAGCTGTTCTCTCCAACCACTGCGAGCTCCACACGCAGACTGAATTTGTATTTTTTCTGAGTACACAATTCCAGCTAGTCAGAATAGTAACGGGAACTAAGATCTGAGTATCAGATCATGGATATACTGTCTTGTGAGGCTGAGACGTTTTCATTAGTGCTTATAAGGAGGAAGGTACCATCATAATGTTTGCCATCAGTAGCTCGCGTTTGGTCTGCTCTATCACAACATCACACACAGACCATACAGCTCAGTAGTATGGAGGTTGTTTCATAAAAAAACAACTTACCATTTTTTGACTTGATCTTCTGCACACAAACTTTGAGAATAGTTTCCAATCAGAACACATCTGCAATAAAGTAAAATCAGACATTAAAATCCCACTAGTGTCACATTTTTTTCACCTTCATTCTCATCCTGTTCAGCAGCTTGCCCTACATACTTCAAAGACAATATACCAAGAAGACTAGATCAGATAACTGTGCTGACTGTCAAAACAGCCCTCCCCAAAGCAGTCCAAACACACTTCACTAGTGTCTTGAACACTAAGTCAAAGCAACATACAAGATGTGGCTGTGCTTCACAGCCTCTCTATAAACAACTAACACTGTTCTTACATCTCTGTACAAACTAACAATGGATGTCTGGTCTAGCACACAGAAAATGTTCAGGTGCTTAGTATATGAGAAAGAACTCAAAAAGAAAAAAAAATCAGGAGTAACACTTTAATTAAATAGCATTTATGGTAAACTAGTTCTTTGCAAGCTAAATCTCACCTCCTAGGCTATATTTTCAATAGCTTAAGTTTTGAACAGTATTTCATTTCAAAACAATTTTCAGAGTCAGAGTCAGATTAGACCTAAATATGCCAAATAAAACCAATACACAATGATAAGAGCCGCAGCCCATGCACAAAATTTATTGTGTGCTACTGTTTATAAAATACTTCAATAGTTCAGAACATGCATAAAATTTTCAACTTAGACAGGGGTATGTACAGATCGTACTTCATGGCAAACAAAAAAAAAAGGGAGATGAACTCTAGTGACATAAGTTTCAAGTCGTGTTCCAGGGGATGAGAAGGACACGTAGCAAATGTCAAAATATGTAACAAAGTACAGTGGCAATCAGTACAGTCCATTATTTGTGAACAAATTAGCACAGGGCTTCAATTTTTATTTTAACCAAGCAGTCCTGTAGATATCAAAATACATGCAGTCTCAAGTTTACACTTTCACTAATGCCTTAGCAGTTGAACAGAGCAATTGCTTACGCGCTGCTTTGCCTAGAACAAAAAGTATGTCCAATACAGTTTCAATTTCCTTTGCAGCTTAAAAAATAATAAAAAGCTTGCAGCTATTCAGCCCAGTGATTACTAGCTATTTATGCAACTGTAATACTCACAATAAAGTAAAAGTACCCATAACATCTACGTAACCTATAGATGTACATCATAGGTCTATATATTAAATATTTGCAAAATGAAAACATGCATACACAAAATACAATGCCAAGCTTTACAGACTTGATATGAATCAAAATTTACTTAAACAATGTACAAAGTTCAATTAAAAGTACCTTAAAATTAACACTTCCATATTTTTCTTACTTTTAAAATTAGTATATATAATATTTTTTTTTAAAATTCAAGATGGGGAAGAGTCTTGAAAAAGCTGGGCAAAAATGTTTCTAAATTAAATATTTTTTAAAATCTGTGTTCAAGTAATAAACATTCCTACATAGAAATCTTCTGATAAGCTGTAACTAAAAAATACAGTGAATACAATATAGAATTAGCAACATCTAAGGAGTAAACCTGAGGTCAGCATTTTACAGAATGACCAACTGAGATTTTTTTGGCATTTTTTTTCTATTTAAAATACAGTTTTTGCAGCCTCAGATATTTTAAGACCTTTCTAATCTATTGTTTTAAAGACATTTCATGAAACCAATGTCCATTAATAAATAGTTAGCTCTTAGGGTTGTATTTGAAAGTCTGATTTAAAAAAACAAACAAACAAACGAGCTACCTCTACTGAAAGAAAATCCCATTTGTAAACTTAAAAGTGTTGACAACAATAAGCGTAAGATGCTAGTCTAGATGTGCTTTAGTGATAACAGCCCGATTCTCTCCTCAGATCTCTTCTGAAGATGCAGCAACCAGCGATGGACTGTGTGTAAATCCACGAAGCATGCTCCCAGGAGGTCGTGTCACCATGTAAAGAGAGGGGCTGTTGTCTCAAAAGCACGATGGTTTTTCTTCAGCGGGATCAAGTTAAATGGTTTTCCACCTCTTACTAAGTGGTCACTTCAGCTGATCCCCCTGGCTATTTCATCTGTTGTCACATCAAAAAGCAGTAATCTAGGAATTCTCAGGCAAGACATAAGTGAGTAAACCAGAAGTTGACGTGGTCACTGTGCATTGTTGTTGCCAGTTCCATTGTTTCCATTGGCATTTGTTGTGTTTATAGTATTAATACCATCTTGTTGAAGAGCATCTTTTCTTGGTGGCATTCTCTCATTGATCCTATCCAAACCTTTTGCTTCTTCAAAACTGCAGATTTTATGTTGCGGAGAGAATCCTCGTATTGCTTAACAAAATGCAAATTTGATATGTCAGTAATGGAAAAATAAGTTGAAATCATATACTTTTTCTAATAAATGATGTTTAAAAACAGGTAAGAAATCAGCCAAAGAAATGTGTGGCTCTGTATCTATACTAGGTAAAAGCTAATCTGCTCTCTTAATATGTTCAATGGCTATCATTAGGTTTATAACAAAAAGAACAAAGTATGGCAAATATTCTGCAAGTAGGAATCAAGGCGCTTAAGCCCACTTGATTGCTTCTGCATGTCCCTGGTGTGGCCAGCTCTAAGCACCAATTGCTTCTGCTGCCACGTTCATCAGGCTCATCTTTTAACATCCCCGTTGTCTTCAATGGAATGTCAGTAAGATCTAAGCAGCACAGCAAGTGCAGTGGAGGCAAAGCAGCAAAGGGTTACAAAAGTACCAGGAGATTTATGTCCTGCATACACGTTGATGGCCTGATCCTGCAGTTTTCATGCAGGCAAAACTGCGGGATATGGATCACATTCTGTGCTAATCGTGTGGATGATGGAAATGGACACAACCACAATCACTGGGTTAGCACTCTGTTCAAACAATGGAATTGTTTAAATACGTATGTATTTAAAATACGTATAGAAAATAGGCATTATTTTTCTACTGATTATTTTAATGAATGAGGTCTGTAGTTGAATTTAGACCTGAAAATGGTTGACCACATAGTAAGACTGAAGCCTTTGGGATGAAATAATTCTTTGGAGATTTAAGTACAGCTTTCCACTCACAACAACGGAACCTCTTGCACGTGTGTGAGAGAACAGAATATGGCCCTTGTTTATATTTTTGGACATCTGACTTCCTTAATTAAAAAACAAACAATGCAGTTATTAAATGGTGCTTTGTGACCAAATCAGAATACACACAAAGGTAGCTCTCCCAATTGCTATGCTGTTTGTCATTCACTTCATTGAATATAGAGCAAGAGGGAATTAAAGGGTCTATGAAGAAACTTCAACAATCTGAATTTGAGTACTTGAATACCAAATAATTTGATGGCATTTTACTCAACACTGCTAAAAAAGGATGTATATACAACAGCTTATTTAGCACAGAAGCACTGATAATCCATGGAATTTAATATGCCTTATACTGGCAGGTTAGCCTATATACTGGAAATAAATTTGGTCATCAAATTATGTGCAAAACCCATAGGGAAAAAATTACAGTTGTATGTCTTGCACTACCAGAACAGTTAGAGGAAGTATTTAAAAATTACGTTCAAAGCCATTAAAAATAGATTTTATGAAAAAAAGCATGCATAAACAACCCTCCTTCAACAGGTAACCCATCCCTCCAACAAACCCTTGCAGTTGAATGCAGAAAAAAAACACACTAAACACTATCATTTTAACGATTTCAAGACAACACCACATATCACAACATGCTATTATACAAAAACCTACTGCATATTTCGTAAAAACAAACAAAAGACCCCAAACCCCAAGAATATCCCTAAAATATTAAAAGATAATCATCATCCTGAAGCCAGAAATGAATGTTACATGTCAAAGGGATGAATCAATACAGTTGATTCATCTCTGCTTGTGCAAGTTGAAAGTAAAACACACCCACACAGAGTACTTTTGAATTCCCTCCCAGACACCACAGATCTCTGCCAATGGCAAAGACTCTGATCATACCTTTTTCAGCCTCAATTGCCTCTACAGTGGCTGTACAGAAGTGAGCAGATGCATGCAAAATGAATGAGAAAGATGAAGAGTGTAATATCGCATAGCAGAAAAGGCAATGATCAATTTAATATAGTATGCTACGCCAGATTAGATTACAATTATTTAAAATTATAATTAAGGTTTTGGGGGTCGTTTTTAATCTTAAAGTGAAATTTCTCCTACATTTTAACTATTACAATTTATCAACTAAAAGTATATCAAGAGAAACACTAATTACTGGAACTTCATTTATGGTTTTAAATGCACATTTCTAAAATATATATATATATGTATTTTAAAGGCAGCAACATAAAATCTCAACTAATGTTAAAGTTGTGGTATGGTTAAAAAGAAAATCTGTGAGATTACCCTTTCCGACGATTAAAATATATTACTGAGCTTCATTAAATTACCAGGAAATATGCAATAAATACAATACTGTCAGTGTTCTAATAACATGTTTTTCTTGTTATGGCTAGCTCCCTGAGGTTAAACTAGTCATTCAATTTCTCACCATATTTTATGCTTAAATGTGTGTCTCTGAGAACTGAACTGTGAAATTCAAACCATAAAAGACAAATTTAGCAAGTGATATTTACAAAGCCTCATAAATTGTTTAGTTGAATCCACAACAAAGTCTAGATCAGGAAGAGCTCTGGATTTAACAGTCTTGGTGGATAACTTCATGTGGATAGGAATAAAAACCTAGTTTACTCTGTTTTTTGAACTAAGTAACCACGACAAATGCTGTAATGTAGTAGGTGTAAGATTTTTCCATTGTTTATTGTTTTAGATCTAAAGTCAAAGCTATAACGTAAGGCTATTAGGATAGGAAAATCATCTTCTATTGGACCAGACAAATAAACCACTTATAACTAAGATCTAAATAGTAGCTAAATTTAAATAATGGTAACAACTTTTTACCTCCCCTACTATTTACCATGCCTCTTAATCTCATAAAGTAATATTCTTTAACAAAAAATTGTATACATAGTTGTAAACCTACTTGCGTGGTGCTTGATACAGATTAATAACAACGGATATCATTAAGGAGTATTCAAGCAAGTGTTAGGCAAACTATCTAAATTAAGAAAATTTTAATAAGAAGAAGATTTTAAATGTAGGTTTGTGCTTAGTATGTGCTGAAGAATAGAATTCTTTAAGGTGAATTAAAAGCTTAGTACTTCTAGTTTCCTACTGAGCATAAACCAGACACAGCAGATGTATAATCAACTGCCTACACTCTGCCTTAACCTATTACATCAAATTATCATTTCCACTGAGATGCTCTAAAAAATAAAATAAAAAACTTGAATTCCTAATAAAATAATATGGAATATGTTAAGGGTAATGCAGTGTTTTAATTTTTACATACTGCATATTCCCAGCTGCCAAAAAAAATAAAAATAAAAAAATCTTGTGCAAATCTAAAGAGGCAAGGGGAATCCCAATTATATCAAAAAGCCACTTGAACAGATCACTATTTATGTTTACATTAGTGAAAAAGCTTTCTCAATTTGTAAAAAATAATTATTTTAGAAAGTTACCAAATACATATATTTATACTATAACCAATTTGCCATGTAAATATAAAACTACATCAGAAAAACCACCTCTTTCCACCATTTCCTGTTACCCGTGAAGTCTTTGTTTTCAATCTTTTCCTGAAAAGATCACGAATACTAATTTATCTCTGTAAATTATGTAGCTTCATAATACAGATTTTAAAATTTACTCCTAATTCATTCTACTTTTATCACTACCTTATCTCCAAAATATATCTTGGAATATACAATGCACTGAAGAAAAGATAACTTCCACCTTGACATAAAAGAACAAACTGACTGGAAAATACAATACTTAAAAAACACACTGTAAAAACTCAATTTGGAATATAATTTTGTTGGATTCTCTTTTGCAGGTACCTCTAAATTAAAATGATATCCTTGATAGATCCTCATAAATCTAGAAAAAATACTGCATCATATTAATATATTTTATAAACCTGAACTCTTCATTCTGAAAATTCTCACTTTCCCAGCAAATTTTAAGCATTTCCATTCTCAACTCCAACTCTCGCCCTGTTTTACTTAGGAGACAGATCTGATACAAAGTCAAAAAAAAAATTCTCATTGTCACTCTGACTAACAGTAACATTAGCAATGACTCTGATCAAAAAGTATTTGTGTAATTAAACTGATTTCTGTGGAAGTATTAAAATTTTAAATTTAGGCTTGTGGCTTTTTACGTGCTGAATAAGGCTTTTTAGGGTGGTTTTGTTGTTTTAAACAGAGGTTGACTATTTCAGTTAATAGTTCACTAAGCAATGATACTTAAGGGTGGTCATTAACATTTGAGATTCTATAATGTAAGTAATGTAATTAATCAAAACCATAAATCCAGAGTTTATAGAGACATATCAAAGGCTATAATTTCTCAAAGTGTATTTTTATCCTAGTAAAATAAAGCTCTCTAGAAATAATTTTTGATTGTTTTTCAAAAATTATACCCATGTGTTTCTAAAAAAAAAAAAAAAATCAGATATTGACTCCTATAGGATGTAGTTTTACACTGATTTTCAAAATTGTCTTTGTTTAATGTTTTCACTGCAGTTAGAATTTCTATTTTACCCTCAGAATTCTTTCTTTTGCAGTAAGAATCTGTTCAACCATCTCCCATAAAGCAGTTGTATTTGATTAACATTTTTGGTGCCCTTCTCTGCATCCCATCAATGCCAACAAGCTTCACTCCTGTGAGAATGGCCTCTATCTTACCAAAGACAGCAGGCATGGTTGAACAAATTCTTGAAACAGTATTGGTATATGCGAAGATTTAGCACAAAACACGTTATTGACATTAAGAATTTATTGTGCTTATGATGCTTCAAAATAAAATACTATTCCAATTCAGATTTTACTACCCCAATAGATGAAGCTGGATCTGAACATAATCCAATTCAGAGCAACTAAGACACCATTAATGCAATACATATGCAATGTTTGCATATATTTTGGCCTGATAAAAAAAATTCCGCCCAGATCTCTAGAGGAATGTAGACATACACTCCAATTTCTTATAACTTTCTCAGCTTCTTAGAGATTTACTGGGAAACAGCCCACATAGATCTTCATGAATTTTTTCATGAATAAAACAGGATAAGCAAAAAGAGTACGACAATGAATATTATTTATTTTCCCAAATCTAGGGATTTGAGATAAGTTATTGATAGTATATTGATCAACACGCTACAATATACTTCAAGAAGTAATTAAAAATTTGTAATACAAAAATCATACTATGCTAAATCATACTATGCTATCAGTGACCATATTTCGCCACGAATATGTATTCACTGGTATTGTGAAGGCTTAGTAAAGTATCAATTAGTGAAGTTTTATTTTATTTTTGGTTTACTTTTAGTTTTGCAGTTGAGCATAGCAAATTTGAAAACTTCTTTTTGAAAAACGAGACAGTAGAATTCATATAGGTAAAAAGAAGTTACTGCAATTTAAGGAGAACTAACAGCATGAGTTATTTTGAACAATCAACATGATTAAACAAATGAGGTATATTAATGTAATGCTTCAAGGAATATTGCCATTAAAAATTCTAGTAAAAAAAAAAAACCACCCACAAAAATCCAAAATGCATTTTGCATACTTTCCAAATGACCCACATTTTCAATAATGGTACAAAGTTTTATTTAAAAAAAATTTTCTAGTCAGTTTGATCCTCTCTAATATTTGCAATGCAACATGGTTTTAAATCTCTTAAATGAATGAGAGGAGTACAAACTCTTTTAAGCATATAGAGTAACTTATTAAACAATGAAAATTAAAACTAGGACATATGCTTTTGGAAAAGTTGGATGAATTAGGAAACAAACATCACTTCTTGTTATAGACATTCACAAAACAATCACATACACACACTGGACATATAAACTTACTTGCAGACATTATATGTCCACTGAGAAATGACTTAAAATGTGACATTCATGTTTCAAAGCTATAAGAGAACAGCTTTGATAGTTTAATAGAAAATGTAGTGAAAGGGTTTAAAAAACAAAAAAACACTACATAGAAAATTTAAAAGTATACACGTAAATATCCTAAATCCCAAAATGAGAAAAGCAGCAACTCTTGGAAAAAATGGTGTTCAGCTCATCAATATATCACAGTCTTTCAACTGCTATAAAATTAATTGGTCAAATATGACATTTTTATACGTTCTATTAAAACCTAAGATTGGCAAATAAAAATATCTTTTGATATATCTTTTGTCATTGAATAATTTATGTTGAGTGCTGCTGATAGGAAGTCCAGTTTCAGATGGATATATTTTAGTTATCCACCGCTGTGAACAGAAACCTGGACTTCATTTTGTAATATATTTGGTACAATCTCACAGTGTTCTTCCTAAGCCTAGCTAATTGTTTATGGGCCTTGTGAAAAATATGATCCAATGATTCAACAAACTAAAAAAAAAAGAAAAGCCTTTTACAAAATATTCAATGAGCCAGATTACAGGTATATTTTGTATAGAGTTCTTTTTATTTTCATGCAAAAAATATATGCACACTTAATAACACCCTTTTATTTTGATTTATTTACAAGTTTTAAATTCAATCCCTTTATTCTCAACTGATTTTATAACAATTACTGAATACTTTTCAAGTACATTATTGTTCAAAATGCACAGACATTGTGCAGCAGCAAATGCAGCAAACCTCAAAAACAAGGTGCTACAACATTGCTTCTACATCAAGAGACAGACAAGTGTCTGGGATAGTGGTTTAATTTTAACACTTATACAGACATACATCTATACCTAGAGAGAGACAGACAGATCTAAGAAAGCAGCTACATCTGCAGAGGAAGGAAACAGCATGTTACAAGGACAATTCAGGGAGGTCAATTATACATAGAACATTTGACAAACAACATAGAGAACAAACTTTGGCATTAATTACCAGGGTACAAAACGTAGCACATTTCAATCTATCAATGGAGTGTAATATGGAACTCTGCAGCCTGTAGTTGTTTGTTAAGATTAGTATCAGTGAGAATTTGATATCGTCAATGAAAATACTAATACATAATAAAATCATTTTAATGGAAAGCAGACAAGTAAGGATGCAAAATTACATTGTAATTCTTGTATCTTTAACAACCAAATACCTTAATATCAGATTTATAAGGTCACTCCACCTGAGACATCTGCATCACCTGAAAAATTGTAAACTACGGAAGCTTGAAGTCTGAAAAATGTGGCCTGACACGGCTGAACTCAATTGCTTTTAGTTTTATACCCTGGTTAAGTATCCATTTCACATTGCCTGATTAACACATAACACTATGCTTATTTCAGCCGCTAAGACAAGAACTGAAAAGCATAAGAAACTCCCTGCATGCATTATGTGTAGTGTTAGCAAAAGAGTGAGATGTGCCCCAGTCCATCTGAGGCACAGCAAGTTGCATAACATCATTACCACTTTGCAGGGTCTGTCGTCCTCCGGCCAACACTCCACTAGGTAACATTCCAGTGGGAGTCAAACCCTTGAGTGTCAGCACACTTTCACTCTCCTCCCTGGTGTAAGAAAAAACAGTACAAAAAACTTAAGTGCCTGCTCATGAAACCTGTATTAAAGCAAAATAAGGAACTGGGAAAGGGACAGCCTGTTTTTGCTGTCCTTTATCCATGCCAAGGTTTACAAGAATTCAAATTTAATCAACAACAAATTCAATTTAATCATCAACAAATATTTCTATGCCATACTATTCTTTCCTGTCTAGGAGTTATAAACACTGATTACTTCTGAAATAACTTAGAAGCAATTATTCGCATGCAGGTCCATTAATTTTGAATGCCTCATGAGGTACTGTGCATAACTCAGTGCCATAAAACAACCCACAATTTCACTGAACGTGTCTGTGCTTCAGGAGATACCAACTTCAAAAAAAATAATCCCTATCTGAACAATTATAGTCTGTGGAAAGCTACACACACACACACAATACACGTACTGTAACATACTACTTCTATTTTGTGTAAATGTGATCATGAAATCTCTAAATCTAGATCAGTAGGAGAAAACGGTATTTTTAAAAGCTGGAAGCAAACAAACAAGAGAGTCCCAAACCAGCAACTAACCTCCTCCTTCCCCCACCCCAAACAACAACAACAACAAACAACACAAACAAAGTCCTGAACTTTCAGTTATGACAGAAATTTTCCCAGCCAGCCCAGATCTTCTCCTTCACACCTTTGATTTCAGTATGTTGCTTTTCCAACACTTACAGTTAATGCCTGGGCATGTCTCAAAAATAACTTAAAAATATTTTTTTAACAAAAACACCAACATCAATGGGGTGCATCGATATGCAAAGTAAGATTCTGACACACAGTGACCTCTTTGAAAAACATTTGGTATCTATTACCGTGGAACAGAGATTTGTTTTCCTAATATACAGATTAAGAGGGGTTTTAGGAAAGCAGAAACCACCCAAGTACCTGAGAACAGAGAAGACTCTTGCCATCTTGCCAATTGCACGAATTTTGTTTCTGATTATTTCTTTCCGTGCTGCAGCTGTACCTACTTTCAATGGAATAAGAGAGAGTCTCAAGCTCATCGATATTTACAAAGCCACCATTTTACAGCATATCAAATTCAATACAACTGTTTAAATTCAGTATTATTCACAGGAGGGCAGTACCCAAACACTTACAAAACACCACATTATAAAATTCTGGCTTCAGAATACCACCAAAACCATCATCACCCTCTGTGTCCACAAAACACACACAAAAAAAGTTTAGGATGTTCACAATGATTTGCTAAAGCTAGCAAGCATCTAAATTACTGTCATTACAACAGAGTAACTATCATAATTCATCTGCCTAATTTTATGCATGAAATTATTCACTGACATCTGTGTTTATTAAGACGTAGCTATGTAGCTCAATACAGAAGCCAGATATTAAAGCCACAAAAAAAAAAAGTTGCTAATTCTTACACAGCTGTCCATGAGAAAACAGTTTTTGATTTGCTGGTTTTTAAGTCAACTTCCCAAAACATACACCTGCACGAACTAAAAATCAAAACAAAATGCCAAAGAATTGCAGTGTTACCTCCCTTACCAACTAATTCTATGTTCTATATATCATCTTAGGTTTGCATCACTTGCAGAAATTACAAATACCAAAGATATGGAGTAAATACTGCATATTCCACAGAGCAGAGAAATACCATTTGTGATAGATAAAAGTGAAGACAAAATTCTGAAAGGAGGCTTTGGGTTTGGAACGAAAGCTACCTTTGCCTGCACTGATATTATAAAAACAGAAGTGCCTTTCTTCAACATTGGTTTTTGTTTTGTTCAATGTATAATAGTCAAAGTCATCCTCCTTTCCTTTTGCGGACAGCCCAGGTCCCCTAAAAAAGTATAGGCAGATGAGGAGATATCAAAACAGCACAACAGTCAACCTTGTCAGACCACCACTTCAAGAACGCAAAAGGCCTTCTGTTGAAGAAGAGTGAGTGGACTTCAAATCCTGAACACCAAACCAAATGAAATACAGAAGATAAGAGCACATTGGGGTAAACAACAACAGCTACAAAAATCCACACGAAAAGGAAAACGTGTAGTAGAGACAAAGAAAAAAAAGGCAGGAAGACAGGAAGAGACGACCTTTGTATGAACATGATGAAAGAATTCTGGGGTAGAACAAATCTCTTAATCCATTTAAATGAAATATAACCAGAAGCTGCTGAGTTACATTTTTTTTTTTAGACAAAGAACAACTTTAACGAACTGCAGACATCAAACAAAAAAAAAAAAAGAAAAAAAAGGAAGCCAATGAAAAAAATGAGGATAGACTGAATAAAAAAAAATCAATGTTTACTGAAAATAACTCAGCTTAAAAGTTACTTTTTAATATTCTATATGTTTTCACTTTCTCTCTCTGAACACTATTAAATAACAGCTTGATGATCTGGAATGAGAAAGCTTTTTCAGAGTTTTTGTCAAAGTTAGTGGCAGATGAGGGACCATACACCTTCCATGCAAGTCACTCAGTTTTCTTCCCACCTACAACTACTTCTTGAAGGCTACACTGCTGCAGAGCCGTAACATCCAGGGTGGGAAGATTACAGGCAGTGCTAGGGCCCGTATTTCTACTCTGGCAGGTCACTATGCCATAAAAGAGAAATGCTGGTCTATGGTATTACGGAGAATGCATTACTCCAGGAGGCAGCATTGCACAACATCTAGCCACTGAATCCTGGTTAGTTCAGAGAACAGTCAAGTAGCATCTGCCTGGAGAAGAAAGTCAGAAAGTCTTGATCTCACCCTAAATTAGAGGGGATCCGACAAAGAACTCTCCCATTGCGCATTCCTAATGCCTGCACAAGAAACAAGTTCTGAAATGCTCATACTATTATGCTCCAAAGAATTAACATAAACTTTCCAAGTATCCCTATAACCAAATGTACTCCCAAATACTAGAAATACTCTCTTGAAGTGGCAAATATATGCAGAGAGCAAACTGACTATTAGGTAAGTAATGGTCAGAAGAATTTTCCTGCACAGAAAAATTCTAAATATCTACCCTGGGATTTCAGAAAAGCAGGTGATATGCTATGAATTTAAATTAGTAGACAACTTCTGAAATTTTGCATCAAACCATTTTCAAAATTGCACATACAAAGTATCTTTTTAACATCTCAGTTGAAGGAAACTAAAGTTCTAGACAAGCCAGGTTTTGGAACACTATAAACACATTCCATGCACAATCTTAAAAAATGCTTACAACTAAATTATTAAAAATCAAGACAGACAACTGAATGCTCCCTACACATGCAGGGCCAAAGATAAAGATTTAGAAATAGGTAAGAGAATGAAATTCTACAAAGAAAAAAAAAAAAGAAGGAATGGAAGAAAGGAGGAAAAAATTCATGCACAGAAAGACAGATGTCTTGGAATATGACTTCTGATAACAAAATTCACAAACCTTTACAAACATCCCATTAAAACGGGTAATAAAATAAAGTGCTGTACGTCTTTCAACACAAAGATATTTTCTGCATTAATACTTGTACTAGCAGGTTCTATGAAGTCATATTTCAAAACATTCCTACTCTGTCTGGTCTGTACCTTTTTTATTGCCATATATGAGTCGCTCTTCAGATGGAGAGTCCAGAAAAAAAGGAAGTGAACGATGGAGAAAAAGGTGAGTGAGACAAATAAAATAAAGATATTTAACTTGGCAGTGGAAGGAATGGAGAAGAAATGTGAAAAAAAAAAAAAAGAAAATGGAAAATTGCAACGCTTAAAAATGTTTTCTTTGAACAAGAAGTGGAATTGTAGAGTGTGTTTTAAAATTTGATGATAAACAAGTGAAAGCTTGAAAAGTCAACAGTTAAAAAAAATAATTCACATAGAAAGATAAAGCATAGACAGTACCTAGGTGGCATTAAGACATACGCACCAAGCAAAGAAATTGTTAGAGACAGAAAAATAAAATAATTCAAATTAGGAAACTGCATCTGCTGTACTGTATTGTACCGCATTGCCTGTAAGACACGGCATATGCAATCAACTGATGAGTGTACTTTTATACTGGACAACCTAAATCCTAGCATCCCAGAAAACCACCACACCCTATGTACTGCAAATGTTTTGTATAATTGTTTTATGTTCAATTCAGTACGATTACTTTCATCAAAAACAAATTCACTGTTTGCAGAATCACATTTGAAACAATTTCTAATTTTTTATGTAAATGACAGCAAAGTTCAAGTGGCTCATAACCAATGCATTCCTATATAAAACACACAGCTCCTTTAGAACACCACAATTCTGCTACTAGATTTTAACATAGTAACTGCTAAACATTAAGAATTGGACCACATCTCTAATATCTTTACAAATGATCTTTAGTGTTTCTCAAAGGCTGCTGAAACTTTTCTTCTTCCTACACTGTCATCAAACCATCCAACAAATTAATTCTCTTATTGGACAGAATGAAGCAAGTCTGAAAAACTTTCAGGTGTGATGTTAAGCACTACCGTAGGGAAAAAAAAAGTATGATGCGCTGTCTCAATGCTATGTACCTCTTGATCACCATCTTAATCTCGTTGCAAACATCTCCTTAACAATCCACTGTATCATAGTTTACAAGATGTTACCATTTATTACATGAATATTTGTTATACAATGCACACAAAGATCTAACTATCATGCTTGAAGCTCAAACACCAAGATTTAAACGCATTTCATACTTCAAGTCTATAGTCTATATATACTTTGCCACAAGAAATACTGTATCTGGTTTTTGCCTCTATCAACTCTTCACTGAAGAGCAATCATTAAGAAAATTAAGAGCTTATAATAAATTTATTCTAGATAATTAATGTCCAATTTAGATGTTTATTAATTGTATACATCAGACGATGTAGTTCTGCAAAATAAGTTTAGTACATTTCAAATACTAACGTTTAGTTATGTTTTCAAATAAAGTGCCAACAAATTCTGGGAATTCTTCACAAAGCTTCAGCTTTCAGTACAGAGTACGTATGATTTTTTGCAAAGGATACAATTACTGCTTCTTGATGACAAACATGAAAAAACAATTCCCTTCCCTTCCCTCCCCCAGAATTCTCATCACCTAAGGAAAAATTTGACAGCAATTTTCTTCAAATTTCAGGTAATAAATTGTACCACTATGCCAATTACTGTTTCACATGTGATTTCCATTAAAAAAAAAAAAAAACAAAAAAAAAACACTAAAGTTAATCCCTACCGTCAAATTGATCTTCTCCCTCTGTCATCAGTTCATCATCAGAACAAATGCTCAAAACATTCACCAACATTTCTGTAACTGTATATGAAAAAAAAATAATTAACTGCTTGAAGAATTTTAAATATTTCCAAGCATATAAGATGTAACTCGTCACCAGCAACTGTAGTGAATGAACTTCCCACCTCCTAAACTCTGCTCACTAATTTAGTCTCTAAAATATGTGGTTTTCTTGATGTGCGCTGTCACAGAATTTTAAAAATTCACAAAAAAAAAAAAAAAAGCCAGAAATTACACCACCTACCAAAGAACACTGCATAGCTTTCTCTCCTATCTTACAAGGAGTTCATTTAGATAAGAATTCTCTTCTTGTGCATTAGTATTTTTACATCAGGGTAAGTCTTTATTTGAAGTAAATTTTATGCAAAATTTACTTAAATAGGAAAATATTTGGACAGCTCAAAATTAGGTATAAAAGGTGAAAACTATTCAATCTCTGGCAGCTGCAGGCATTTAGCAGAAGCAGTGAAGCAGAAAAATATTATGGCATAAATATGGTACAAACTCTGTGTCTTTTCAAACTCTCCTTGAACATTGACATAGAGGATACACAAACTTGTTTCAAAAATCTTACATTTTCTACCTCCAGGAATCTCCTTATTCTACCACTCAATCTTTCACACATGCATCAGCCTTTTCCTTAAAACAGTTAAGTTTCCCCTTCCTCCTAGAGGGCTTAGTAACTTACTCCAGAAGTTCAATCAGGTGTTTAAAAACCTTGTAATTTCTTGTCTGCATTTATTCATGACTAATTTATACAGTCCAGGCATTATCTGCTATGCTATTCGTTACCATTCTTGCAAGCTACTCTCTACTTTACTGAACAAGTACAACAAATAATTCTGATTTTGATCTGTTCAATGTAGACCAAACAACATTGGCACCATATCTTTCATTGAAAGTTGAAGTATGCACGTGTCCAAAGGTCATGACAAATTACAAGTTCCATTATTCCAGCAGTCTTAGGCATACAGTGGGGCAATGAGGAACTTATTTAATAGTTCTTGGTGTCTCATTACCAGTATTATACAAAAGTAAAATAAACAACATTAACATTTTCAATGGCAAAGGGTTATTTACTGCATTATCAGGCAAGAGAAACAAACTATCTCCTTTCAAACATCAGGTCCCTTAGTTTAAAAATCACCAAAAAAAAATGTTGAAAGGACTAACCATTATAAAAAATGTCTAAGCTATTTGTTTGTATCTGCTCACTAAGGACAACATGAAGACAACATGAACAAATCTAGAATCCTGGGTCTGTATGACTCTTAAACGAATTATCTCTAGAGTATTTTGCAAAGAAATACAGAGAGCTTTCCAGATCTTCTTTATGAAGAGAGCAGTTCCTGTCATGGAGACATTTTAAATAGACCCAAATAACCTCTAACCTCATTGCTTTTTAACTGAGGACTACTTGGAGCTCTAGTGTCCTAGATTTAGAGTTATTAACTCTAGAGGGGAAAAAAGTGGACCTGTGCTAAATTACCTTTTATAAGAAAAGATTATAACTGAAAAGAGTTATTTTAATGAAGGTCAATCTGTTATAGCTACCTAATAAAATTAAAATTTTACAGGAACATCTCAACATAGTTTACACCTATAACTATACAAGATTAATTATTATATATAACCTAGCCTTTTGTAGAATATGAACACCTTTCATATTGACTTCAAATGAAGTTCAAAAGGTATATCCTAACAATGCAGGTATATATACACTCAATGGAAATTATAATTTGTATTAACACTTTTCCTTTATTAGATCCAGGTTATCTTGACCGAAACAGCTGAAGAAAACAGCCAAAACTGAAGGACATGTTTTACTTCAGTCTACCTTTTCCCAGACATATTATCTTTATGTCCCAAAAAAACCCTCATCAGGGTCAGCTTAACAACCAAATTTTCTTCCTAATCAAGCATCCAGGAAGTCTACCCGATAAAGACAAATGCAGATAACCATCTTCACAAAAATAATGAAATTAATCTTTACTTGGTAAATATTAAAACAAACAAAAAACCCAAGCCAAACAAAAACAAAAGGAAACAAATAAACCCTTCACAACAACAAACTGGGAGATACAGAAAAGAAATTAATTTGGTGTGTAACTCTTGCATACCTTTTTCTCCAACAAATGGCAAGGACCATGTAAAAACATCCATAAAATTTGGTAGCCAGTAAGGATGAGGAGAACAATTGAACTGACGAATATTCATCACATTGTTTTCATATTTTAATACAGCAGCTAAAATAAAATTCAGACATTTTGGAAAGACTGTTTAAAACTTGCAAGTATCACAAATGTAAAAACACTTTTATACTACAGACAAAATAAAAGCAGAGATACTCCATTCTCTTTCTTTCACAGTATTTAAATGATAGATTTCTAGTGGAGAATTTTGGATTTTATTTTACTGTGATTACTGCAGTTTAAAGTACTGTTACTTATCAGTTTAGTCCTGTACTATCCCATTAAAAGTCTACAATGAACAATGATTTCAAGAAGTCCTGAAAAGGATTTTAAACAAAATCCTAACTCAGAACAGCAGCATGCCCAGTCTCAGGTTTTACTCTTGGCATGTGTCTTCCTGCACTGGAACATGAAGTCTCAGAATGCAGGCTTACAGAGTGGAAGAAAGCCAGGGAAATCTAAAAAAAAATCAGGGAGAAAGTGCAGAGAAACAAAACAGGAAAAAAAAAAAAAGCATTCCAAGGCTAAATAAGCCTTGATTGCACTTTTCCATACTTAAGCTTGCACTACACTGGGAATAGCTGAGGGGGAAAAGATTCTTAAAAAGTGATATCCACGAAGATGGTGGAAAAACATAAAAAAAAAAAAAACAAAAAAAAAAACAGTTGAAGCTCCTTTACTTTAAAGTGCAAGTAACAACAGCTCATCTTTCCCTCTATGCAATTAATCACCCTACATAAATGGTATGGGTTGGGTGAGTCAGAGTTCTTCGGAGGTGAGCGTGAGAAAATTCAATGTATTGTATAGTAAATCATATTCAATAATATTCATTCACAGTTAAGTTCTCTGTAATTCTGACTTTTATGTCTTTCTCTGCACTATTAAGCATGTCTCCTGTGCAACTTTATACTGCATCTCTAACATAGTATGGACAAAAATTGTTTGACACCTCCCTAATAACATTTCCAAAGGTGATCAGTATTTAGATCAATATTTGCTGTTCCCTGATCTCCCAGACACAGCCACTGTTGTCCTGTAAGATCACAGAACACGTATCTCCCATGTCTCATTTTCTTCCCTGTGACTACCTATTATTTATAAGCACAGGGGTTTTGTCCATTTCTCTTTCCTCACCAAGGTACCTACCACAATTGACTGTCCTGGATTTCATCCACATGTAATTTCTTCTGTCCATAATTAAAGACTCTCAGATGCCATGATACACAACATGAACTACCTCATGCACATGCTACTTACCAATGCCTTCTCCCTTCCTTACTTTAGTTCACAAACTAAAGACAATCAGAGGAGTGAAAACTCACAGCACTGCAAAGCCTTGCCTGACTGGAAAACACCAGGTGATGCGTTTTTAAGTATTAAATAGCAACAATTTTTACAACAGAAACTTCTGCCCACATGTCAGCTCCAAGGTACTCTTACATGAGACTGTAATTTATGTCATGTGTGTTACTTCACAACACAATTTTCATTCAGGATTTTTTGGTCCTTTAATTTCTTAACTGGCAGAAAAATGTTGACATTAGATGACTTATGTAGTAAGACATTTATTTTAACAACACGTTTTTATTTCAGCATTGCATACAGATATTAATTACAAGTTCTTACCTTTATTATTGTAGACATCAAGGTAATTAGGTGCTGAAAAAATTGTTATTAATGATGGGAACCCTGTAGTTTGACTTTTCCTGTACATTCTATAACTGTAAAACCAAACAGATTATTTTACACCTTACAGCAATAAGCAATTATTTTTATATTTTGCACTGTGAATAATTTCTTGAAGGAATGTACTTACCCTGCATCTTGTGCTTCGTGTGCTCTAATGATTGACAACAAATTATTATTTTGCAAAAATTCACAAACTGCTGGATAGCTGTGAAAAGAAAACAATCATGAGTAAAAGAAACCCTCTATCAAATACGCAGGAAGACTTAGTATGAACATATTAAATAGATCCTTGCATACTCTCACCTATAAAAGTATGAGCATCCTCTGACCGTATTGTGACTGAAGTGCTCTGGTGAACTTTCATTTCCAAAATCTTCTGAAGGATCTGACCACAGTAAGTCACACATTGGTCCAAATGCTGGAGGCTCTTTGAATCTATCTAACTGTTTGAGAAAAAGCAAGAGCATAAAGATTCTTTAAATATTAAATCTGTAAGTTTTACACATTTGTTAGACTACATATCCATCAATACCAAGCATTTACAGAATAAAACCCAACCATATCAAAGAGAAATAGGTTCTGTATATTTTTTCCTCTCCTCGTCATGAAATAAGGCAGAGGCATGCCAAAAGAACCAAACCTGTTAAGAGCAATAGGATTTATTAGTTGTAAGGAGAAAAGAGAGAAATTCCAGACTGATGGATATGTGTAATATAAAGTCAAGTTACAGACAAGGAACTAGATGGTCCTTTTTCATGCACATGCCGTATCTACCAATCTGGAGACACTACCAGGAATTAGCAAAGAGAAACAGTACAGAAAACAAGAATGGCAAAAGAAAAGCATGAATAATTAGCACTGACTAGAATAAAGTAAATATATACAAAAAACTCAAACCCAAACCAAACCCCTGAAACAGCCATCTCCATAAGGGATTGTTCAACAATGTAATGAAGAGATGACTAACATAGCCATCTTAGACTTCTTTCATACAGGCTTTATTTCTCAAATATAGCCCTGCTGTAATGGGCCATAAGCATTTTGGGAGAGGGGAGAGACTTTGTTTGCTTTTCTTTCCTTTAGCTGCTTTTTTTATTTTTATTTTTTTTTTTTTTTACAGATTTCCACTTGGAAATGCTTGCTCTAGCAGCCTGTAACATCACTAGTAACCACAGTGAAAAGAGCCAGAGGTAAGGAGGACAGCACATTTGTTAACGTAAAAGGAAAATACCCTGTTTAAGTACCATTCAATCAATCTTTGACATCCCAGAAATGAGATTTCCCAGTTTCAATGTAAAGCTTATTTGATCTTTATGTAGCTGGAGTTTGTTCACAAGATGATTTTATCCAAGAAATGTAGGAACGGTTCTTTGATGGACAGTGCATTTATCTCACTTTACCTCCCATACCAAAGAAGATGACTTTGATGGTACTAGAGAACACTTAACTCTTCATGACAGGTTCGAAGGGAGGTTTGGTGAGCACCTGGTGAATTTGAGTCTAACGGTCCATAGGAATCCATTCAAATATGGAACCAGCAGTAGTGCCAAGCTCTCTCATGCCCTGGAAAATCAGAGCTCCCGAGGCTGCCACCTGTAACATAAGTGGAAAGGTCCAGATCTTTACAAATTCCTGCCAGATAATGGCAAGGCAGGTATTAACTGAAGTTGTTGTTGGAATTTATTCAATATTAAAAGTCCAGTGGTTTAACATTTCGCACACTGGATGATAAACCCGGCATGGAATACTCCTTCCAGATTGAAGAAATCAGTCCATCAACTTCTGCAAGTACCTGAATTTCTGTAGATTAAACCATCAAGTTTCTAAACCTCCAGCAATAAATTTGTGTCTAGAAGCTAATAGAAGCATTTAAATAAGGAAGATTCAATTCTGTGCTTAGTGATGTTTCCTGCAACGTAGAAGGCTGAAAGTCTAGAAAACATTTCTAACAAATCTTCTTGAGTTTTTCTTCAAGGATTTTCCTTATGACTTTGGCCAAATGGATAGAGGAAGACATTATAAATAAAATGTTTTCACTGCTGCAAGCAACACACCTCTCCCAAGCTACTTTTTCTTAGCATTTGAAACAATAATGTAGACATTTCTTGAAGTAAGGAGGTCAGCTTGTAAAAAATATACTCACATACATATCCAATCAGCATCTCCCTCACTAGACCATCTAAAAACTGGCATATTTCCCAAGAAATTTCAAAATTTAAGGAAATGTCACTTCTATTCAACCCAGATTGCATACATCAAATCAGAATAATCAGGTTAAGGTTTCTCTAAGTGTGGACAGCAGTAAAGTTAATGAAGAACAAGTCAATTCAAAACACTTGTTAATGATTACCTATTTCTGAGTATGTTGTGACTACAGCAAAGCAGAATCTCAATATAAATTAGCTTAACATATTTCTAAGCAAGATTAAGGTAACTGAGAATGACACAATTTTATTCAAGAATAACAATCGCTGTATCTGGTGTTAAAACAGAAATGGGTAGCATTTTTTAATGCACACTGTAAAATAATTAAGTCTAAATTAATTTACTAGGACTATGAAGTCAAGGCTACTATACTGAAGTGCACCATACCTCCACACGAATGCTCAAATTAAGGAATAGCAAAACCTTGGAGATATATTAAGGAATAGAAAATTAAAAATACTTTAATTTTGAAGCAGAAGACCTTCAGAGAAGTTTCATATACTTGAAGATACAGACAGGTTTTAATTAACCTAATTTTCCTGATAACTATCACATATTAAAAGCCCTAAAAATCATGTGAAGGCCAGTAAAGAGTGGCAGACAGACATTAATAAAGAAAAGAAAATTTCAGAATACCACAGAAAAGAAGTAAGGGATTATAAAGAGATGCCTAGGAGTGCACTCATAAATTTCAAGGCACTTTACTGATCAAGCCTTACTGCCACAACAAGAACTAAACAAAAGAATTACCATCATCTTGGCACTCAAAGGGAAAAAATAAAATAAAATCTCTTTGCCTCTCTTCTTTAAGAGACCCGATAACCTTATCTAGACATTTTCGTATCAATCATTAGTCTTAGAGTCAAGATCCATGGAATTCTGTTTCAGCAGTAGTCTTGGCAGTGTAAATGAAATCAACTAAACAGAATCTCTACATTGACGGTCACACATCTGAAAGAGACACTACCAACATAAACATAACATTTGTGTAAATGAACTTCAGAGGATAAAAATCAGATTACTTTAAGTTTCATAAACCTGCAGTTTCTTGGAAATAAGAAGCACTTGCAGCAATCTTGCTGGTTAGGCTTTACTGTCATATCTACTATGACAGCTGTCCTCTACTGTAAATAAGAGTACGCCAGCAAAAACAATAATTTCATTCATGTAGTTTTATCACCTTATTGAATGTCAATACTGACATAAGACTTCATTCAGAAAAAAAAATCATCTATACAGATTTTTATTTTTTTTTTTTTGAGTTGACTCCTATGCTGCTTAAAGCTGATTTCCGTTCTTATGCCAGATGATGAAGTCGAAGTCTATACGTGTTTGCAGAGGAGATCTGTCCTTATTAAGAACTTCTGCTAATAAACCAGAAGGCTTACAATAGTATACAATTGTCTTGGTTGTTTACAGAAGTCATTTCACACATCACACTTGTATCACAAGTGTATGGTATTTTCCTAGATATAAAACGAGCATTTCACATCACCTATTTAATTTAAATAAATTTACAATATCATTGTATGCCAAGTTCTAATGCAGCTCCTGAAACTGCTGCCAACCGATGACTACTGCTTTTTCCAAGAGTTACCAGATGATTCTTTAAAAAACAACAAAAAATGCCCCTAGGAACAGTTCTAATAACATTGTCTTACATTTATAAACGTGGTTTTCATCAGAAGCAATATACAACGCAGATTTTCATATATATGTATACACACACACACATAAACACACAAGCTTATAACTCATCCTAATGTAACCTAGAGCCTGTAAAAGTACAGGCCAACCCTACAGAATTGCCTTTTAAGTTTACTTGACACTTTGAAACTTGATTAGTTGCAAGACTTGAGACTAAAACAAAAATGAATCACAATCCTATTGGATGTGGCTCTATAAAGTGTTTTTCCAGACTTTGTTTCATTTGTGCTACTTTCCAGAAAGCTCTGACCATGTTTCTTTTCATCTGTAATGTGAGAAGAGCTAAGACCTCCTCAGAATGGCACAATGTACTCGCTTTGCCTTCTCACTTCTCTCTGCACAATGCATACAGATTTCTGTACATGTTAATATTGCCTCAAAAATGCAAATTGCTTCAGTACATCTTGCCGTTTACACCACTGAGCTTGTAAATATTCTTCCTCTCTTTTTCTACCATTTTCTTCTCACATCATTCTGCTTGGCTGTGTAAGATTTCTAAGTGAAATCCGTTGACATTCCAGTCTCTGAAATGGTCCAAGTCAGTACAAAAACCTGGTGAATTTAAAAATGAGATACAACCGGACAGCCTGTAATTCCAAGGAAAGGGAGAAGTAAAAAAAGAAAATGGAGCACAAGTAGTAGAGAAACTTCTAAGAAAACACAAAATACAGTAAATGAAGACAGAAAAAAATAAAAGGAGTGATCAATATTTATATACTACGAAACTAAACTAGGTATGTACTTTTCCCTTTTCTCTGACATTTGCATCGTTTTGAAATAGGCCTCATATGGAACATACCTTGTTCCATATGCATATAAAATTTTTCTTCCATCCTCACCTATAATTCCAAAATTTTCTTAGAACCAACTGTTCATATTTTAAACTGCTATCAACTACACTTTAGCTGTCACTAATCCTAACAGGAATGGTCTTGATCTGGATATGCATGGAGCAAAATACAAAGGATACATTCACACCTCTCACAAAAGGAACAAAAAATAGGAAAAACAGAAAAACGCTTATCCAAAATTACAAGTTTCTCTAACACTCAGACTCTGTTTTGTCTTTCAGCTTTTGAAAATTCTGACTTCGTAAGAAACCCCTCTACTGCTATAGCAGCGTTGTTATTTGTACACTCTTATGTAGAAGAGGAGTAACAGCAGGCAAGACTCCCAGCTACCTTGCCAAAACGATTAAGATCAGACACAGATAAATAACTCCAAAGAAAATAAATTAAGCATAAAGTTATGCTTGCTGTTTCAGTTTCAAAAATCATATTTCATGTCCTATTCAAGTCTACAAAAAAAGTTTATCAGCTGTTGGACAGTTTGCTTGCTACACTCATTCAGCAAACTGAAACTTGATTCCAAACTTATGTACTTCCCTTTAGATCTCTGTAAATACTTCCCCCTGTTCTGAAAACGATGCAGCTATTTTAACTTCCACAACTCGCCAAAAGGAACTTTGTAACTCATTTTGTACGTAAAATCTTCTATAAGCGGCGCATGAAAAGGCTTATGATTATTTTTAATAGTAGTTTCATTTAAGTTCATCATAAACATAAAACTAATAATCTTACGGAGGCCATAAAACTTAATCAGATCTATGCCAAATACAGCTATTAGATTTCCCATTATGGAATACTTTCAGAATTTCAACCCTTTATTTTATTTATAGCCTCCGTTTCTTGTACCAAAATTCATTTCATGAAGTAAAAGAACTGTGAATTCACATCTACAACAGAACAAAACACTGAAAGTGATAGAATGTCATGTACTGTAGACTGGACACACACTTCAAAAGGTTCTGCTTTTGCATGCTGCTAAAACCAACTTCTGTGAACACAATGCAACACAATAGCCCCTTTTTTCTCTGTATTTTTCAGATATTGCATATATACTAAAACCACAATTTCCTTCATTAAATTATAGAAGATATTCCAATATGCAGGGAAAAAGTCATCTTATGGGAAAGCATTAGTTATACCAATACTCCTTAACTAGAGGTCTTGCTCTATATATCTAAAACCAGAATACCCACAAATGTTCTAAAGCAATCTTTACTATTACAAATAAAACAAACTATTGTCTTCTTTCTTTTGAATCTTTAATGAAGAAGGTATAATTTTATTATTTCTCTTTGTTTAGTGAAACAGTACTTGAATGACTACAGAGCCATTACAGATATTATCACATTTTCTGACCAAGTAGCAATGGCATATCTGGGGAAAGGTTCTCAGTACAACCGATAAAGATTTTAGAGCAGCTGGATCTTTACAGAAGAGGTGTACATCTTAAGTTTCGTAAGACCTGACTGTCCAAAAAGCCTGACAAAAGAGTTTTGTTGTTGTTTTCTTGGTCTCCTCAGAAGTTCTGTTTTTCAATAGAACTTATCCGGTGTCCAACAGTTCCTCCTAGAATTTAGGAAACTAGAAAATATGTCACGACATATTTTCCACACCAGGAACCGTGGAAGAAAACAAACTTCACTCATGCACTCATCCAACATAAGATGAAGCACTCTTTTCTCCCATCCCTCATCTCTAGTACCTGACCTCCAAAGACATTAGCAGGAATGACCTAGGGAAGGCAGGGATTCTGCTCAAGCAGTTTTATTTCCAGTCCTCAAACACCTGGTTATCTTTTTTTATCCCCTGTTGAATAATCCAGATTTTGAAAATAAGATCCAATATGACAAAACATCACTCCTGTCAGGCTGGATGCCGGCTTTCCAAAAATTTAAAAATATCTATACTCTTTCCTGGAAGATCTGTGTCCTTTATTCAAGATGCCAGCTGTGTTAACTAAAGTAAGTTGAAAAGGATTATACAAAAACAAAAGCAATTGAACTTGAAAATTTGCATCCAATACAATCTTCATTTGACTTTAGCACTCCATGCAAGCTGAAACCAACTTATTAGAAATGGGTACCTTATTTCATCACTAACTTTCTTCCCTTTAAATTACTATTAAACTATTCAGTGTTTTCATTGTTCATTTTTAAAAACTTGTTCTCATTCTTATTATTTGTGATATATTATTATTATTATTTATGTGATATACTCAGCACATTTACTACAATGTAAAATATTCGACAACTGTTAATTAATTGCCTGCCAAATTTACCATTTTAAATAGCAATCTGACTTTCTACTAAGTATTGCAATTTCATCCTCTTTCAAAAAAAGAGAAAAATCCTTTTGTTCAAAAGAATAAAAGCAAAACAAAACTTTTCAAAGAAACATAAATGAAATATGATGTTTGATATACCAAACAATTTCAAGACTACAACTTCTACAAGTTTAGTTCTAAAAGCCATGAGAACTCTAGTTTTCATCTAGAAAGAAATAAAAACACTATTTAGATTGGATATGAAGTTCTTTACATGCACTACAAATCTCAAGAGACTGTGGAATTTTTGAGGGTTTTTGTGTGTGTTTTGTTAACAGTTTAAGCTGTCCCAACTGAGATCAAGTAATGAAATATGTGCTAGATAGGCTTAGCAGGATCATACTTAAAAACTTTTGGTCTCAATTTCAGATCCCGATTTACACTGTCAAAACAGACAAGAACAGAAACCAATACATTGACAACTTCACATACATGAACTGTATATCATCATAAATATCTGTATTTCCACTTATTTTCAAGTGCACAAAATACTCACTCTCCTAATGTCATCTAGTGTATTAATTTCTGGTGAGAGTCCACCATGAACACAAAGAAACTGTTGATTTAGAAGAGCAGCAAGGGGAAGACAATCAAAAGCTTCCATACAAGCATCATAGACTCTTTCTGAGTACTTTATTTTACCTGCAGGAAAGAAAATGTAAAATGTTAAGAATTCCATGTTCATCTCCATGTTCCATGGAAAAAGTAATCTAGTAGATGATAAATATAAGAGCCAACATCACAAAATGAACACTTAAAACATATTAAAACAAACAAATATTTTAAAGTTGCATTTTAAGATGCAACTTGCATCACCAAAAGAGTTATTTTAGAAGAACAGTTAAAGACAATTCCCAAATGGAAAAAAATATTCAGCAGCAGGGTTATTTTTCTTGCTGGCTCCACAATACTGGACAGCAACTTACTTCGTGCTCCTGGTTATAGCCAAGATAAAAAAAATAACCTACTTCTCTCAAGGATTTTAAAAACAAGTTGCATCAAAATGTACTCAATAATGTATCATTACAAATACAAGTCTTCTCATGCTTGCACTCCAATGCCTTACTTACCATCAAGCAATTCTACATAAGTCAGTGGTTTGTAAAAGTTCACGTAATTCCACTTGTTTGCAAAAATTTGATTAAACTAACAAACACCTCTCAAGCAAAATGAGAGACCAGAGATCAGTAGCTTTGAAGTAAGCTAATCGTACATCCTTAGACAGTACTTACATTCCTGTTTAAAGGTAAAATACTCCGTTAGGTGTCTGCATTCATGGTTGCCTCTCAAAAGAAATAATGTGCTTGGATAGAGAATTTTCAGGACCCATAAGTACAGCACACACTGTTGAAAAACAAAGATACACAGTAAATTACACTTTAAAAATTATTATTACTCAGAAACTTTGAGTAAGAATGTTAACAGCTTCAAATGTAAGTACAGCTTAATGTGCCATTCTGAAATACAACATTACATCCCTGAGTCAACACACTGGTTTTGGACCCAAGTTGCAAAAATTATTACTTTTCCTAAGAACCAATGCACAGAATGCTGAAGAAATATTTGTATTTACTGGACAATCAATAATAAGTCAAATTCAACAGAATTATACTACCAAACACTCCTTCATCTAGATAATGTATGTGTTTGTGCATAAAATATGATTTCAAAAATATAATTCTAAAGACTGGCGTAAGAAGGAGTGCAAACAGTTATTACTAAAGACAGGAAAACAAACGAACAAAAAACATCATGCTAGGGTGTTTTCAACTAGGAATGGACAGAGTTGATCTCCCCACCCTCCCAGAACTCGGAAAGCTGCTTGTTCATTCACTTATCAAGCACCAAATTCAAAGGAGTATGTAAGTTTCCATGTACTGTTATCATTGCAACATTAGTAGCAAACAGTGTTGTGAAACACGCACAATCTTTGAAGTTTAGAGCTTGTTTTCGCTGTCATTCCTAAACACCCAAAATGTATTTCTTATCTTCAAATTTGATACTTGTATTTTTAACTGAGCACAGAAAAATTAAAATCCCAGTAGTTCTGGACCACGTTGAAGTCACCTACAAGTTATTACTACCATATTGTTAACCAATACAAGAACCCTGAAGGTATCATTCTTCAAACTTTTTTTGCGTAGTACAATGAGTACATGAAGGAAGAAAGAAAACAAAGGAACACTTTAAAAACAATACATACATATAGACAAATACACCAACGACTTCTATTGAGAAGTTTAGATTAACTATTACTGATTTTTTATCTTAGTAAAAATATGCAAATTAATTATTTTGCTAATCATACCCATTTTTCCCCCAATGTGTTTGTAACTGCAAAATCTTGATGTCTTGCAAATTCCCAGACTCTTTAAAACCATTTCCCAGCAGCAAGCATAATCGGTTTGTGATAAAATGACTGCTTATCATCAGATGAATATGTGAACTAATTTGGCAAATTTCACAATTGTGAACTGTTTTGAGTCAGTCTGTATGAAAAAACTATAAATATTGGCAACCTTAAAGACTTGTAACACAAGAGTGGAAAAGCAGTTCCTTCCTTTCAATAAACAAATACTACATTTAATTAAATTGCTGAAATTTACCATATTCTCAAGCATGATACCTACTAAGTAAACAAAGACCATTTTTGAACTGTTCCTGTACCAACGTATTTCTCTTATTATTACATACAGACTAATGTCAGAGTTCTTTATCATCCATTACTTTCAGTGCAGAAAAAAAAAAAGAGAACAGACTGATTAAAGAATTTATTAGTGAAAAAATCAAATTTCAGTTTTTCTACATTTTAAGAAGGTTTCACCCTCTCTGTTCTGTGAAAAATAAAATATTTTACCAAAAGTATATTACATTTCCAAGGACTAAAAGAGAATCTGAAGTGACCATATGTGAACAGTCTCAGACTTAACCTGGAGGTTAACTCACATTTCATAAATATTAAAGATGAACAAGCAAAAAGTTACCTACGATTTGTTTTTTCTTATTTTATTTAAGCAAAAAGTTGGAGGCAAAAGTCTGACCTTAAGATTTTAGAATACTATTTTTTAATTTCTCAACAGGTTCGCAAAGCACATGCAAACCTCCATGTACTTACAGCATTTCAACTTCATGCAGATAATCTGCCATGTACTTTACTGATGTTCCAATAGTCACTTTGGGAAAGAGACACAGATTATCCCAACGAAGAGAGACAAGCATTTTAAGAACCTTGGAGGGGTTTTCAAGAGTATATTTAGCATATCTTTATGTATTCTGTAAGTGTATTTAGCATCCCAAATATTATATTAAAAATTAAATTATGAACACATGAAGGAAAAAAAAAGTGAGACTGTTCTTATTGAAATATTCAAGCACGTTCATCGCTCAAAAGTTTTTCCTAACTATAATGACTGAAAAGTTGTTGCATTGTTGCGATAGTTCATTGCTGCTATGCAAATGTCTTTTCAAGGACAATTACATTATTTGTCATCATCAAGAACAAGCCATGAGGATCAAATGAAATAGGGAATGTCTGCTGTAATTTTTCCTTACAAATGACATTCTGAGGCTATCATTCTTGCTCTATCTTCTGTCTACTATCCCTAAGAATCCCAAAACATACTGTGCATGTCCTTCATAGTATACACACACACACGCATTATTAGAACAGTACCATTTTAATATAAAGTCTCATACACCATGCTTTGCAAAATACTATTTCAAATGCTAAGCCACTCTAATAGATCTGGTATCTTTGACAAGATCCCAAGCTAAGGAAATTTCCATGCTAGCTCCAGAAAAGCCTAAAAATCATAGCTATGAAACTAATTGGTATGAATACATGAATATCTCCATAATATAACATATCTTAATGGCAGATACATGTCATCCTTAGGGAGTATCTGTAATGGCCCTCAGAATTTTAGTAAAGAAAAATATTAATAATTATTAAATAACATTTGATTATGTAAGTGAAAGGAGTCTTCTTTGTACAGATAAACATTTTTAATAAAAGAGAAAGACCTCCCAGTCATAACTCACCTGTTCTCCAAACTTACAAATGTACCTTACTGCATATTACTAAAGAAACAAAATTATGTATAATAATGCTATAGAATTCAACTTAAAAAAAAAAACAACAACAACACAGCAACAACAATAAAACACAAAACAAACAAACAAAAAAAACTAGCTAAAGAAATAGGACGAAAAATGAGTAAGTCTGATGACAGTCCAAACCGCTGGTCAATATCCTCCTGTAAGCAGGCCTTGGTATTAGGACAAAGCACAGCAAAGAAGAACACATTCGCATGTTAAAGCAGACCTAAAATTTCATTTGAAAATCTCCATGAAGGTGTGCTTATAGAAAAATTTAGGACAAAACAGATTAATATATTCAGTTACCTCTATACTAAAATAACCTCTGTCTACATAGTCACCGAGGAAGAGGTATCTTGTGTTAGCAGGTGATCCTCCCACTTCAAACAGCTTCATTAGATCAAAGAACTGGCCATGAATATCACCACACACTGCAAGCAAAAATTTTGTTCAAATTAATTTAAAAAAAAAAATCTAACAGAAAAGCTACTAAGTTATACTTAACAGCTACAAAGTACTTCTAACAAAGAGAAAAAAGATATATAAAGCAGGAATAACCAAAGATTTGAAGCTTCACCATCTGCTTTTCATTCAGACACTGTTCTCACTACCTGTGACCACACAGATAATAACCAGATTTGCATCTGGCTGACTGCGGAATATTCCTCAAAAGCAGTTAATGCACTGAGCATCAAAGTCTTGAAAGCTGTCAGTCAACAGCTCTTTACTGTCCTCCCCAACCCCTTATCTATCTTCAGGAATGTGCCTTGGTATGAATTTGCTTTGCAACAATTTGCTGTGTCCATGTGGGACTGAAAAAAGCAGGGAGAATATGCCTTTGTTTCTGAGTCAGACTAACATACCTTTTAATATCATCATATCTTCTCTTTGCTCAGTTACTTTTCTCCTTCAAATAACCATGTTCACTATTTCAACAGTGGACTTTTCTTGTGTTTTTAGAATATGAGACAGGACAAGATCAGTGGTCAGCAACCTAAGGCAGAAGTGCCAAAGATAGCAGATGGGAAGACTTTGAAGAGCATGCAGCAAAGCCAGGTCATCTCACAATCAGGAAAATAATCACATGGAAGAGAAGTGCTCCTAACTCCTCATTCCCACAGGAATTTCCAGTGCAATGGAAGTCAGGAGCTACTTTCTTGTTTCTGCATGAAGGTATTGCTGATAACAATTAACAGACATTCAAGAGCCTATGCCTTCTGTTGATGCAAAATGTCACTGATCAGCTTACCAACAGCCTCTTTTGACTTCTCAGTGTTTATTAGTAAATTTTGGGGGAAAAAAGTACTTCTAATTTTGAAAAGAAATATCAGATATGGCACACATGAAAGGTTGTTATTCCCTTGGAGCAAACCAATTGTCACAGTGACCTATAAAACAGTAGACCAAATACAATATATCCTCTTGTGTGTGACTTTTCTTAAGATTTCTACTCTAACACTGCAAGAACTTTCCCCCTTTTTCAGCTTCCAATACATCAGTAACTCAGGATAACTACCTGAATGAACTGAAATATAAGAATTCTAAACATACGGAAAATACTGTACTTTTGAGCATGATCTGGAGCATCAAGAGACTCAGTTCATTCATTTAGTTATTTCTACCATTTCAACAGTTTAATTTTCTTTAAAATGTCAGTAATAATGACTTATTATTTAAATGTTTTCATTTACCTGATGCTAACAAATTAACACAAGCTGATACCCTAAAATAAGCTTTTGATACACTTATTTTACAAAGGTCCATTTCAAAGATAAAACATTCAAACTAAAGACTGGCCAACTTGAACACAAAAATCAAATCTACATGCATTATTTTAATTGACATTTATGTCATATAAAATATTTTCTACAAGCATGGATTATTTATAAATAAAAGTAGTAATACCATCTTTCTGTGATTCTATAATTATCCAGGTCAAACAGAAACAGAACTAGTCCAAATAGGAAAATAGCCCCCAAAACCTCAAAAGGCAGTTTTGTATCACAATGGGTCTAGTCCTGTTGTGTTAAAGATGCCAAAACAATCTTACAATACTTTCCAGAACTACTACCCTCAGAAGAACTCTTTTACAAACAGTTGTCACTCTCACCTAGAGGGCAACTACGAGGTGTGTTTTTTAGTCAGAAATCCAGGTCACAGTATTTGCTTCAAACAACAGCAATTAGCTTCTCCTCAAGTATTTAGATTTCATAATAATTCTGATCTCACTTTTCTATTCCACAGAGATGTCCTTATTCCCATTTACACTATTACAGGAATTAGAAATCCATAATTTACCAGCATGTAACTCCTTTCTCTTTTGTCATTATAATACTGATTACACTATTTTTTCCTAACAGGTTTAATGCCTTCATTTTGCACAATAATGTGCAGTATATTTTTTCAGACCATATGAGTACTGCTAAGCAAATGAAATCGTGGAAGATTATTCAAAAAGATTATAGAGAATTTTTATTCTAACAATTTTTAAGATAAATTTTACTGGTGAAAAAATCTGACCGTTTTTTTTAATTTAATTATGAATGAAATCATCTAGAAATATTACCTGTGATTGGAGCTTCAACTTCTATCATAGTTTTTTCCCTCCGTAATATTGCAGCACCCTCATTGATGATTCTAAGTGCAATTTCTTCATCAACTCGACCTTCCTTTATCAAGTGGTTCTTCAAAATGTCAACCCTGGGTTTTCCATCTGTGTCAAAAACTTCTTCAGATGTCAGGCGATGCGTTGGTGGAAAAGGGACAGCTAAAATTTAAAAAGAAGAAACACTAGTCATATCAATGCAATTCTAAATATATACTCCAACTAGAGGGAACAGAACTGGATCTATCATGGAACAGCTGCTATGCAAAGTAGCAAATTTGTCTTTCAATCAATCAACTCAATGACATCATTAAAAGCTGGACGGAATAGCATTATCTGTGTATGTATTAACAGAATTAACCTCTATAACATGCAAGTTCATAGAAGCTATAAAATATACTGTGCTGGATGGCACAGTAGAATATACAACATTTGGAAGAGTCAAAACTGCCTTTCAAAGAGACATGATCTCTCCCAAATACACTGGCATTCTCTGAAGGTCTCAACAAGTATTGGGGATAAGATCCATTTAATATCCACTCAGACTTGCAAAAGTCATTTTAAAATATGTCCATCATCAAAGACTCTTCAATAATCAAATTAACAAACAAGAAAAACTGCAAAGCTAGCAACAAAAGGACACAATGCTGTTTAAAGGACTGTAATCAAAGGGAGGTAATAGCCAGCACATGGAAAGGAAGCTCACTACGTAGCCCCACTAGGATTTGTGCTATTTAACATATTTGTAAATTACACTGAGAAAAAAAAAAAAAAAAAGGTAACTCGAGGAGGAATGCAGGTTTCAGATGGCAACAAATAGTCTGGACAATGAAGCATAGGGCAGGTTAGGATGACCTACAGAAGAAATCATGCTACTGAATGGCTCGAAGAAAAAAAACATTAAATATGAATGATTGAGAATTAATGAAGTCAAATATACCCTTACACATAAAAATCACAGATTATGAGCTTACTATTCAAAAGCAAGGTCCTTCCTATTGTTCTATGAAAATACTCTATACTGACAAGTCAAAAAACAAACAAACAAACAACAGAACAAGCAGTTATTAGCAAAGGAATCAAAAACAAGATACAACTACGCCACTGATAAGCCCAGTAGGTATTTCTGGCTCACCCATCTTATAAAAGGGAAAGAATAATTTAAAAGGTATTCAAAGAACAAAGAAAAACAAGAAGTTAGAATGGTTTCTGCTATAGGAATAACTAAGGTAAGCTACAATTCTTCAGCCTAAAATCATGAAAACTAAGGGGGGGGCTCTAACAGAGGTGTATGACAGCATTAATGGAGAAGGTGAAGGCAAAACAACTCCCTCAGCCCCCAAATGGCAAAAAGGCTGCAGGATGGACTCTGACAGCCTGAAGGTCTGTCAAACCACTGATTAAGCAACAGAACAAGTTCATACTACCAGAAAAATCTGTAATTTGGGGCGCCTACAGCATAACCATTATGGATAGAAAATCCTTCTTTGAGCTTGTTTTCTTTATTTTCCTGTTGTACTGTCTCTAAGAATTTAAACTGAGTTGAGGCTGTCCATATACTAGACACAATGTCGGAGACAACTGGAGGGTAAAACTTTAGTAAAAGTTAAGTTTTTAAGTAAAACTTTACACCCCAGATTCAATTCTTAAATACTAAGGCATTCACCGACTTCATTTAAATTGACTTCTAGATCACTAGCAACATATTGCTACCCTTCTGTTGTAATAAAAATCCATCAATAAAACAACTGATGCATATATCACATACATATACTCACTGAAACTAAATTATATTAGAAAATAAACTGCATAATTGTCTATTTTTCCTCTTATAAAGAGGTTCATAAGCCGAAGAAGCTGAAAAACTTGCCTTGACATTACACAGTGTAGAACAAGTTTGGCACTTTGTTTTTGGACATAAAACATTTTACTAAGAAAAGTAAACGGCATGCCTTTCCTTCCAGCCTTCTCTAGTAATCAGTCAGGTTTCATTTGAAAGTGTTAAAATTCCATGTAGCCCAAATGCTAACAAGCTTAATGTATTTAAGAAATCAGAAGACAACCACTTCTGTTCCATGTACAACAAGTATTTACAAACAGAAATCCATCTCTGAAAAGAGAAATCCCTCATTCCAGCAGGACAAGAATGTAATTCACTTTTAGAAGCATCATTTAATTATGACCATACAACCTCTATGCTAGCATCCACTGTTTTTTGAGCTTGACTTTGCAATCTTTATATTCTCTTAATGTTATTTTTTACTGTTTGGAAATTAATATTAATCTGAACACAATTTATTTTTAGACACCCCCCCCCTTTTTCTAAACATGCTATTTGTACCACAATCATGTGCTATAACACACTACTTGTGCCACAAAATCTGCTCCACGTAAACTGCAGATCAAGTATTATCTAATGAAGTAGGTCTGTTTCTTTTCTTGTTTTGCCAGATATGGTTTCCATGACTGGATTCCGGCACCAGCGCTGGGGTACTGGCACAAGCCCATTACTGTACAGCACTGTCCAGAACTAGGAAGCGACGCTTTCCAAAGTTCAGATGGAGAAAGGGAGGAGCAGAGCTCAACAAAGGTCACACGAGGCACCGGTGACCAGTCACGTAAGACTGACGGAGAAACTTGTGCTTCTCAATCTAGGTCCATCCTGAACGTAGCTGGTGCGAGTACCCGACCGTACGCGCTGTGAACGTGTGCCAACGAGCACGCACAACACGAGCCGCTAGGTGAGAAAGCCAGTTACTAAAACAGGGCCATGGCGTCTGTTGGCAGGTGTCAAGTTCATGGAAGCTTATAAAAGCAGGCGGGTCCTTTGAGGAGATGGGACCACGAGTGCCTTCAGCAATGCAAAGTTGAGCTCACCCTTTTATGAGATATCTGACAACTCACGAGGTAGGCTTCTCCTGCCCTAAATGTCACAAAAGCATTAGAGATTGTATCTTCCCAGGACCAAAGCCGATCAACACAAAGACTCAGTTTTGCAGAAATTGTGCTTCATTAGTCCCAGCATCACTCCTGGATAATGACCTACTTCAGTGAAAGACAACCCTTCTCGCTTTTGGGTGACTCTTCTGGTAGAAGCAGGGTGTGGGGGAGAACCACCTATGGCCAGCTGATCTTCTCTGCCCCTGTGCAAAATGCTCGGATTTGTGGCCTACCAGCGGCCACAGCACTCAGGAAGATGGTGCTGAAATGTCATCCCTGTGACAGGTGTGAAATACTTCAAGGGCTCTAAGCACAAGGCAGGAGAAATTTTCTTCTCTTAACAAAGTTCTACTGTCCACGTAATATTTTTCAGATCAGATCCTCACAAAAAACAATTCTGTTTTAACAACTACTGGTAGTTGAGTTCAACTAGCAAGCTGCATTTTCTGTGACACTGAAAGCAGAAGTTTCTGTCTAGTGTCTGGGAAAAACTGTATCAAATTATTTCAATTAATATATTCACAGAAATTATATTTCAAATGAAAACTGTATATCCAGGGGTTATCCTTAATGCCCCCAAATCGTGTTACTGTCGGAAGTAGTTAGGCATCTATAAAGCTCTATTTGCCTCATGAAAAAAACAGTCTTAAAATCAGTTCCTCCGAATTTAACAGAATCCTTTTCTGCAATATACATATATATAAATATATTTCCTATTGCTCAAGAAGGATATTTTTTAGAATAAAGATTTAATCTGCACCACCCAACTGGAATAAAACAGCAAGACTTACTATAAAAAACATTTCTTTCAGATCCATACTTAATTTTTGTCTCAATAATAGTTAACATAGCTAATATATTAGAGCTCACACCTTTGAAAAAATATTACAAATAACATTTTAATAGGTTAAGTATGATAATTTTGAAGCATTTAGACAATTTCTGCAAACTAATGGGTTTAATTAAACCTTTGATTAAGTAGTAATAGAATGTTATAGCCTACGGTAAAAGAATTGCAGCATGATGTATTCCAAGACAGAAATATAATCCATGTTACAAAGTCTTTGTTCATAACCTGTGCTCTTGGGACTGTAACAGAATGGTAATTAAGAGGAATTACCCGAAGGAAATAACATGGTGCTGGTCATTAAAGGATTCCCTTCTACCACTCCCTGCAAAGCTAAGCAATGGATACGCATTTCGAGATGAAACCCTAAAGCAGTACACACTGTGGTACAAAATAACAGACTATGTCCTATTAGTATAAGTAGAGATCTTTGTCAAAACAGTAATGTCATGGTTCACAACAACACTCCGGACTTTCTAAAACAAACTGTTGTTTACTAGCCAAAATTAGTCAATTTTGCTTTTAAAATATGTATTGATGATGTAATTTTAAGTATATTGATTCAAAATCTTAAACACTAAACCTGGAGAAAAAAAAGTGGGTAATTTTTCTTTTTTTGTTAGCAAAAAGGTTGTGATTATTTTATTACTATTCACGTGTATTTGCAAAGAGGAAAACAACTGATCTTGCTTTACACTGCAGTACTACTTAGAACAGAGATATCAAAAGCAAAAAACAATTCTCTAAACCTGATTCTACAGGCAGACTTTCTACAAACATCTGGTACGTTTTTACCTTACAAAAAAGCATGTTACATAGATTCAAGAGTTAGCATCAAGCTGAATGGATATATTTGCAGTACATTGTAAAGAGGTTCAAAAGCAGCAAAGCTACATTAGCATAGCACTTCACCCAACATACTAATCCCTGTGGAGAGGTGCAGTATGGCACCTAACACAAACACGCTACTTCGAGACCCAAAGCAGATCTCACATTGCCTAGTAACTGCTACAGTACAACAGTAGCTGCTAATAAAATCTAACGTGTAGATACTGTAAATTTAAACCACACTGATACATATGCCCATTTTAATAACGGTGGTTAAATCTGGCTTGTATCAGAGGCACTCTGTTGGAACAGGCTCATGAAACAAGATGAGATCAAAGCCACTAGACAAATGGTAGGAAAAAGCATCAGGGACCAACCGTACGAGGTACTCTGCTTCCACAACCAAAGTATTTTCTGCTCCTTGGGCCTTAAAACTGAACTATTTTCTCTGTCATTGAAAGAAAACCAGCCATTTTTCCTCTATAATCAGGACCCCATGACATGTTCCATAAACCTAGCTTTGGCTGTAAAAGCATGCCCAACAGCC